CCCTCTTTTTACAGGAAAAAATAGTCTACCCAAGATGATTAAATCGTGTCCATATAAGACGTGATATCTTCGTGTTCAGTGGCTTAAAACTGAACAAGTAGAATTTTAATAGAATAAAAAATCTTGAAGTTTTTTTTCAAAAAGTTTATTTTTATTTTGAATAAATAATACTAAGAATTTAAGTTTTAATAAAAAATAACGTATTTTTAAAAAACTTTTGAAATGTTGTTGAGAAATTTTTGTTTTTAATTTTTGAAATTTTTTGATTTTTTTTAGATAAGGCCGGATATTTCCATTATGTTTCTCAAAAGTAACTTGATGTAAATTGTGTATGGGTCTCTTTTAATACAGGGTTGTGGATATCATGTCAGCAGAAGCTGAATATTCCGCACAGTCTTCATAAATTAGGAATACAGTCCCTTTAACTTCCGCTGAATATGGGAAGAAGGACAAGAAGGAATGAATACAAAATGCTTGATTCAAAAAGGCTTCTCTCATGAACAATGTTGTAAGAGTTGTAGGTGAACGCACTGAAAAATGATCAAACTTTTGAGGATGCCATATATTCATACAATCTATAGTTTTATATAAAGGAATTGTACGCGTAATTTGAAGTGACCCTTCATGCAAAGATGACAATGCCCGATTCACAGCTTTAAAGCTTTGTCTGATCAAGAACTAATTATACAGCAATGTTTATAATTCTAAAAACTTATTATTTTTAATTGTGGTTTCTCTACAAAAGTGAAAACGACGATATCTTCCACATTAATAATCAGAGAAAGGATTCAAGGGTACAGTTGTGAAGCGAGCATTGCCATCTTTGCATGAAAGGTTTCTTGAACTTACGTTTAGATGAAAAGTGATTAAAATGTTGTCATAAAACTGTGGAATAGAAAGACGACTGATGGACTCAATTTATGATTGCTTAAATATCGTCTTCGTATTCCATAGTTTGCTGGATTCTACTGTATATTACATACATTGCAGCTTAAATTTTAATATTTTGGGTGAAAGTTAACAAAAAATGCTAGGCTCAGCAGATTAAAAAGAGATTGCATTTAACCTACTATACAGCTAGCCTTAATAAACATAAAAGTCGTCTTTATCTACGCAGCATTCACTCATTAATCTAAATTAAATATTTATAGAAAAAAAAAAAATTTAAGTTAAAGCAAAAATGTTTTTAAAATAAACTGATTCAGTAGTTTTACTTTATTCTCAGCTCCCTGAAAATAAAAATTACTGAACTTGATATAACTGACTTTAAAAAATACTGCTAAGCATGCAATAAGTAAGTATGAAGGCGCATTCCATCGAGGGGGGAGGGAGGGGGGTCCTGTACCCCTCCAAGAGGGGTGGGGGTCCTGTACCCCTCCAAGAGGGAGGGATGTATCTTATATCTCACTTCTAATGAAATTGTTAGTTACGCTTTCTTAATTTTGAGAATTCTTTATTTTGCCTGAAAGGAACAGTTGACGTAATTTCAAGTAACCCTTGGATTAAAATTTGGCATGTCCGATTCACTTCATACAGTTAAACCCTTAATAATTAAGCCATACACAGTACAGTACAGTACAGTACAGTACAGTACAGTACAGTACAGTACAGTACAGTACAGTACAGTACAGTATGTACAGTAAAGTACAGTACAGTATTTTACAATCGATAGAATTTATCAGAAAAACAAAAATGTGTATATAAATTATTTCTTTCGAAATCTAAAAAATTTTAAATATTGAATCAAAGAATCACAGAAAATTCGCAAAATTTTAAGACGAAAATTTGCAATTATTAGTTTTGGTTTAAGTTTTAAGGAAAAGTTGTTTAAATTCTCTAGTTCCTTTCTTTTTAGTATATTCTAAAGTATTAAATATACGCTGTTCATTGGGAACTTTAGTTGAAACCTTCAGTTGCGCAAAAAAGGTACAATTTTGCACCAGGCGCCGCAAATCACACTTTTTCTTGACTTACCCTTTACGCTATTTAATTTTACTCACCCTGTACAATATTTAATTTCACTCAACCTATACAATATTTAATTTTACTCCACCTATACAATACTTCATTTTACTCAACCTATACAATATTTAATTTTACTCAACCTATTCAATACTTTACTTTACTCAACCTATTCAATATTTCATTTTACTCAATCTATACAATATTTCATATTACTCAACCTATACAATATTTCATATTACTCAACCTATTCAATACTTCATTTTACTCAACCTATACAATATTTTATTTTACTTAATCTATACAATATTTTATTTTACTCAACCTATACGTACAATATTTCATTTTACTCAATCTATACAATATTTCTTTTTTTCAACCTATAACATATTTCATTTTACTCAACCTATACAATATTTCATTTTACTCAACCTATACAATATTTAATTTAACTCAATGCTACTGAACATAAAGCTTTGTTCTGCGGACATAGAGTCTGCTTTACTGTTCACTTCATCCACTCTATTTACAATAAAGCCATTATATATATGATGCTTGCTCTATACGCTATATACTACACCGTCTTCATAACATTTACTTTGATTTTCATTACATTTTATCTGGTCTATCTTACTCAAAATAGATCCCATATTATCAACATAAACTGAGAAATGAAATTGATCATAATTATTAATGAATGAACAAATCTGTTCACGAAGTTGAGACCACAGTAGAAAAAAAGGGTTAAAATTATTTTATCATGAAATTTGTTTTTTAAAATTCCATGCATTAAGGACTGTCAAACTTTTAACATTCAGCTGTTTAAACTACAGTAGTCTCCAGAATATATGGGAAAATTAGCACGCACCTCTGACCCTTTTGTAAAGGTAAATTCAACCTAAAGTCTGGCCGCGCCAACCTTGTTGCGCTGGCTAGTCATATTGAGTGTCTGCTTTATTTACCCTATGTCCGGGCGATACAGTACAAACTGGGACCGAAAAGGTTGACCCACCTCGGAAATTCAAATGTACTACGGCTGCCCGTGTTAGACCAATCTGAACTCTAAGTACAAAATTTTCTTGTAAAACTCTTGTTGTATTTCTATTTATTTTAGGGGACCACTGTATTTACATTTTTACACGTCTAGTTTGTTCTTAAGAGGATACGTCAAACAAAGACTGCATGTAAAATTGAAATCTTACAGTTTTTAATCATGACTCCTCTCATTTAAGATACATGAAAGTTGAGAAACGACTTGAATATCGTCTTTGATCATAGATATTTGAGTTTGACGAAATAAAACCAAATAAAACGAAATCTCCGGTAATTTAGAAACCACATTTTGGAATGCAAAGGCTAAGGCAATTTTGTGATTATTGATTCAAGAATTCTACTTCTAAAATTGGTTTATAAATGCGGCAAATTATTTTAGAAATGAAAGACGACCTTAAAGTCGTTTCTTAACTGTCATGTCATGGGACATCTGTATATTGAGAAGAAAAACGACGTTTTGAATTTCTTGAATGTAACTGGATAACTTGGCATTTCTTTTACATGCATTTAATCAAAACAAGAGGAGCAACTGTAATTTGACTAAATCTACAGGGTGTCCCAATACTCAGAACCTTAGTTGCAGGCTGTCAAAAATATTTTTATCTGAACTCTTTTCTTTTCTAGCTGAAGTAAGCCGCGTTGCCCGTGAAGTTTTTTTGGATTTTGAAAAACATATATAGATTTTTGAATTTTTTTTGAATTTAATAAAAATGTCGAAATTTCCCACAAAAATGTTCAGCCCATTCGGTCCAGCCGTTTGGTCCGCGAATTATTACATAAATGAAAAAAGATAATCTAATTTAATATATGAGAAAATTAAACTGCATCAATACCCTAATTCATATATTCGGAGAATCGGTTTTCATAATTTATTATTTACACACAAAATACTAACTACTGAAATTATACTATACGAAATTAATAGAAACAGTCGAGGTTATATGAACAACTTCTCCTCCTTCCTCTCCTATCTCGATATCATGGGGAACTGGCTCCAAAACTGAAGCTTGTTCTCACCCTAGCCTAGGTTTCCGTTAACCCTACGCCGGGGACCGGCGGGCTAGCCCACCTCTATCCCCAGCTCTCTCATCTAAAGGATTTATTCACATTGGCTTGGCTTGGTCTATAAATAGACAATACAGTAAACATTCTGATGAACCGTTAGGTTTCATAGTTCATATGGGGGGGTGGAGAGGGGGGCATTATCCCCCTTGATCGTAGGAAAAGATCGCTTGATCTCAGCGATCTAACAATCCTTTGAATCACTGTTCGTAAAAGATCAACAAACTCGCACATATTACACTAATATTAATTGTCAGTTTATTTCTTGTATTAATATACTTGGCCAGCACCATGTAGGCTCTTGGATTAATCACAACTTGTAAAATCATAAACAAAATCTCCAAACTTAATATAGAAGACGACTTTTAGGTTAAAATCTCCATACTTAATATAGAAGACGACTTTTAGGTTAAAATCTCCAAACTAAATATAGAAGACATCTTTTACGTTAAAATCTCCAAACTTAATATAGAAGACATCTTTTAGGTTAAAATCTCCAAACTTAATATAGAAGACATCTTTTACGTTAAAATCTCCAAACTTAATATAGAAGACAACTTTTAGGTTAAAATCTCCAAACTTAATATAGAAGACATCTTTTACGTTAAAATCTCCAAACTCCGCATTTAATTCAAATTAAATTTCGGTCCTCGTCAGTTCTAACAATAAAATAACTAACAAAGAGTTTTATTTACAATTAATCCACCGGAAGCATCAATCGTATCTGATAAAAGTTTCATATGTTACATCATATTTCTATTCATAGAACAACAATACTTCTGTAATTAAATATTTTAACAAGTGCAATTACGAATTAAAAATGAATTTTCACAGAAAAAAAGTTTATTAATGGGAAAATACACATAATTTCCTAGTTTTCGAATTTAGGATTACACCAAACTGTTCCTGAGAGCCAGAATACTCATAACATTATTATTCATGATCATAATTCTTCCCGCTGCTTACCCACGCTTAGTATTGAATAATAATTATTAGCTGAAGTGCTCGGGGTTGCCCGTGGAATTTGAATAAATAAAAATAAAATTACCCTATGTCACCCCTGGTGTACCCACAGGTTCCATAAAAAAAATGGTCAATTTGGTCTAGCCATTTAGCCAGCTATAGCTATTATATACGTATATATATATGAGCAAAGAGCAGATTCATAAAAACGAGTTAAAGTAAATTTCATTTTTTTGAAAAAGAAACATCTTAGAGCAATGGCCTTAGCTGTGTTCCTTACCCTAAAAATATGGGAGCTTTATAAGTATTTTTAAAAAGGCGAAAAGTCTGATTAACAACGCTAGTAAGTATAATGTCATCTATCTATAGAAATATTAATAAATTCTGTTTATTTTAAACAACTAGCTAGTTATATCCAGTTATTCTTTAAAGCAACGCAATTTTCTGAAAAATAAGATAAAATGTAAAATTCAATTAAATTTATCATTTCCTTTCAAACACATTGTCAATTGTCATGCATGAGAGTAATTCAGAGGCCCCCATGAGGCTTACCGCCAATTGTACGTGTACGTGTACATACTAATGACACGCCTGTGTGTAAAAAGTATTTAAAGTTATAAACTTTTAATAATTTTTCATTCAATTCCGAACATTCAGAGATGAATACTTTACTTTGGACTTTGGTGGGCTCAGGTAACTTACTGTTATTCAATATTTTATCTATTTCTCTCATTTGCTGAGTATCAAAGCAAACTCTTCGGTATAATCCAATTTTTTCTCCAACTGATCGCCCAGTATTGACAGGCAGGGGGAGGGGGGGAATAACTAAAGAACTGCCAAAAATAATTGAAATTGAAAAAAATTAAACGACCAAAATTATAACCAACCAGAAATAACACCATTTTCGACAACTTTTTAGCAAAGATTTTTTTTTTATTTAAACAAACTAGAGAAGTAATTTTAAATGACTCTCCATTTCTTTAAGCTTTTATAACTGATCAAGTAAAAATGAGGTTTTTTTCTACCTGAAATTTGATTACTTTCACTTGTGGTTTCTTAAGAACTTGTTTTAAAGAGAATATAAAATAATTTGATTAAAATTCCCTAAAATTCACTAAACTTTGTGATGGTGACTTTTTTTTATAAAATTGTTATATTTTGGATTAAAAAAATAGGGTTATATCTGCGTATGAAAAAAGTATTATATTTTTGGTCAAAAACTGGTTATTTTTTGGTTATAACCAACTTTTGTTATATTTGTTGAGATGCTGCTTTAATTTATTGGTCAAAACATGGTTTTATTTTTTGTCAGTTATATTTTTGGTCTGTTATATTTTGGTCTGTTATATTTTGGTCTGTTATATTTTGGTCTGTTATATTTTGGTCTGTTATATTTTGGTCTATTATATTTTGTCTGTTATATTTTGATCTGTTATATTTTGGTCTGTTATATTTTAATCTATTATATTTTGTCTGTTATATTTTGATCTGTTATATTTTGGTCTGTTATATTTTGGACTGTTATATTTGGTCTGCTATATTTTGATCTGTTATATTTAAAATTCAGTGATGGTGACGGACCAAACCTCTGTAGAGTAAAAAAGTAGATGTTAGTTTTTGGATTTTAAAGTTTCGAATTTATTTTAATCTTTGTTAAATTAAAATCCCTTTTTAATTTAACCCCCAGTAGGGGGCAATGTTAAAACAAATTCGAAATATAAGGAAGACGATTGTACCGACTCAAATGCCGACGTTAATTCTCTAGATGTGTGTGTACACAGGATCCGTTTCCGCAATGAAGCAAGCACACCACACATGTCAAATCCCCGTTCATCCCAGCTCCCGGTATTCAGTCAGCCGAAAACACCCGAGATGATCACAACTCAGTCTCAAAGCTACCCTGGCTCCTGCATGTTGTTAATATAGATACCTGAACAGCAGCAGACGATGCTTACATCCAGCCCATCAAAATGTTCCAAGAGTTCTAAATATTTGCGGCCGAACAAAAAGGAATTATCCGGACTGAATTTAGTTTCCTCCCCGGAGTTCCGACGGGCCTACTCACCCACTCTCCTCTACAAGAGGATAATCTCAACTCTAAAGAGTTTCCTAATCGAACCTGGAAGTTTGTTGGGGATTATATATCCTACGAGAGCCTGGAGAGAGCAGAAACCTGCTGTTACAGTTCTAGTTGATCTGCATTACCAACATGAAGTTCTACATAGCTCACTTTAAGTTGCTACTGATATTTGTCAATTTATAGTTTCCTTGTTCAATTCTAAACCAACCAATTTACAATCTTTGTGTCTTGGTCAAATATTTCAAAACAATATTATTTTTCTTAAATAAATATTATAGAATATTTGGTTTTTTTATATTTTGTTATATTTTGGTTTGTTATATTTGGTCTGTTATATTTGGTCTGTTATATTTTGGTCTGTAATATTTTGGTCTGTTATATTTGGTCTGTTATAATTTGGTCTGTTATATTTTGGTCTGTTATATTTTGGTCTGTTATATTTTGGTCTGTTATATTTTGGTCTGTTATGTTTTGAGACATTACTGACAAACTAAAATTAATTCTATATTTGTATTTAGCTCTGTGTATTGTTTACACTGAACCAGTCTCGGCCGATGTCCCGTGTTGTAAGAAATGCTACTTTTAAAAAATTTCAGATCCTCCATTTTCAGCAGGGGTCCGCCTGATTCACCCTTGAAACCTTTATCAGATCAATAATGTGGAAGATAACTTCGTTTTTCTATGGTTGAAATGTGTTTAATTCTTCCATTCTTTTGTCCCTTTTCCCAAAAATTTGGAATAGGCAGACAAGACAAAGCTCTGTTGATGCCAGTGTGAATCAGACATGTCCCTTCATAAATGTTAATTTATTCAGGTTCTATTGCTTAAATCACTGAGATTATAATATTAATAAGAATCTGATAATAAGTGATAATAATTAATAAAAATAATTTGTAAACTTTGTAAAATCATTAAAATAATATATACGATACACACATTAAAAAATATTCCAAAATACGAGTTATTTGTAACAAATAGTTTAATCAATTCAGTTTTTATCAGAATTTGGGGAGATAAATAAGCGCTGTTATAGTATTTACAGCAAAGGGAAATGTTTTTGAAAAAAGGGAATAATTTTTTCCCCCCAGTTTGGTTTTCAAAAACTAGATCCCAAATCAGGCCTGCATGCCAAAAATCAGAGATCACTATAGTCACATAGTGATAAAGTCAGAAGGCTTTATAGGTATTTTGGAGGGGGCAAATAAGGGAATGGGAGAGGGAATGGTATAAGGAAAGGGGGAAATGCATTCTAGAGTCAAGTATTGAGTTTCCTGCCCTAAAGTAGATGAATTTTGACTTCCAACATAGACCTAACACAAAGTTTTGAAAAAATGTCCGAAAAATGTGGGAAAAATGAGAGAAAAAATTATTTTCCCCCCATTTTTGTTTTTGATTCAAAAACTAAATCACAATTTATGCTTCTGCATGCAAAAAAATCAGAGAAATCTCTTAAAACGAAGCCAGAAGGCCCCCCCCCCCCCCACTCGTTGTATGGAAATTTAAATAAATTTAATATAAATGGAAAGTTTTCAACAATTATAATTTGTGCAGGGGGAAGGAGGAGTGTGCTCTACGAGTCAACCTTCTCCTGAATACATGCTGTCGATGAATGAATCGAAATGTATTGGAACATTCCAAGGAGCCCCGACCTACTGTGGTTACTGCTGGAAAAAACCTGAACTTGGACTTCCTTGCACGTAAGAATATATATTTATTAACTCTAATTCTATGGGGTGTTTTCTTTGCGTTTTAAAAGATTAAAATATTTTTTTGTTAATTTATTAGAGGCTGAAAGGGTATCGTTGTGAATCAGGCAAAAAGGCATCCCTCTCTGTAAAGGAAAAATGAAAGGGAGTATACGCTGAAAAGCATTTTAGGAGTTGATAGAGACCTATATATTTTTTTAAATGGCTTTCACTTTTTCCTTAATGGGTATCGTTGTGAATCGGGCAAAAAGGCATGCCTCTCTTAAAATGGAGGGTCTCTTCAAAGGGACTGTAAAGGAAAAATGAAAGGGAGTATAGGCTGAAACCTAAGCATTTTAGAAGTTGATAGAGACCTATATTTTTTTAAATGGCTTACATTAGAGGGCTGAAACTTTTTCACTTTTTCAACATAATGGTTTTTAAAAAATTTAACTAAAAACATTTTTTTATGGTGGAGGACGGTCAAACGGCAGGTCGGTGTTTTAAAAAAATCAGAAATAGTTAATAACTAGTTAATAATTCCAGGACTAAAACTTATATATTTCAAAAGCCCTTGAAAAATGGATTAAATAACATCTGTCACATGCTAATTTTTGTCATAAGTAAAAATAACTATTTTTTAAATTTTGACATACTTTTTGAACCTTTTTTAAATCATCCATTACACCCTAACCATTAAAGTTAGAGGTCTATTTTTTTAATGAGTAGGCCTTGAAAATTTGGACTAGGGACATGTATCACACTCCCCTATCTCAACTCTAAGGGCAAAATCATAATCACTAGTTAATATTAACTAGTGATACTTAACTATATGAAAAATTATAATTCAACATGATTTTCAAATACATTTGAGTTTGGAAGTTTAATAAAATTAATTCTGCAGGAATTGTAGATTTGTATTATCAGTGTTAAATGTACAATTCTATGCATGATATCCAGAAGATATCCAAATGACTGAACTGTGAGGTCCAATTATTTTGTAGGCCCTCACTTGACCCCCGGTTAATATTCGGTTCATAAATAATTAGGAAATTGACCAATAAAAAAAGTAATAGAAAGGAAACGGAGCATTCTATGAGCTTGGTCATTTTTCCTTTTTTCTTTAATACTTTTTTACTTTATATTTTATATTTTATACTTTATACTTTGTAGTTTAAAGAGCTACCTAGCATTTAATTTATTCTATACAGGAAACGTGTGTGTGCAGAGGGAAAAGGAATCTGTTCTCCAATACAACCCCCAGGAATAATACCAGACGACGGGACGGAAGATGGCCCTAACCCTCCTCCAACACCTGCATATTCACAGTACGGATTTTGTGGCACATCCTCCAATGACTGCAAATGCTGGGTTCATTACACTTTTTTTAAACGAGAATAGCTAGCTGCTACTCCCTATTGGACATTATGTTATAAAAAAGATATTTTTCTAAATTTATTCAAATGCTTTTGTGTTTCATTGGCTAAATAAAAGATAATTCTGCAATCAATGTAGATTTGTGTTATGGATGTTAAAAGTGCTAGTAATACACTGTAAACAAAACGTAAAACTGTTAAATTTACTCGCTCTACTCTGCTCTAGCAGATGGGCCACGACAACCGGCTTTTTTTACAGTGATAACCAGATATTCTGAATTAGGAAGACGACTTTACAGCAATACTTAAGTGAAAATGATCTTATTACAAAGCAAATAGTTTTACTATAGTCCTTGCAGCTTAACCCTAAATAAGCCATACATCGAAAGAATTCATCAAATGTCGTCTTCTTCACTTTCTGATAAAGGAATGTTGCAGATATTTAGTCTTTTAATTAAATGATTATATGGAGCTCTTTAAAACTGTTCCCGCATATTCAAAGCTATTTATTTATTTTCGCAAATACTGAAATTTACGTAATATAGTATAAAACCCATTGAAAAATTGTCAAGACAACATTTGATAAATTCTTTCGATTTATGGCTCATTTAGGGTTTAGCTGTAAGTGAATATATCGTAGTTCTTTTATCTTTAAACCTGTTGAATCTCTGTACTCGATGATTAGTACCGTTGTGAATTGGGTACGTCCCTCTTTAAATGGAAGGAATCTTCAAATTCCATTTACAGTCCATTTAAAATTTAAAATTTAAAAATTACTACTTCAGTCCCTTTAAGGACCCCGCCATTTTATTTTCGTCTATTGAAGAAAACTAGAAAAATCGTAGGTTTGAAAGTTAATTGGTGATTTTTCAACATAAGAAAAACAACCTATTTTTAGGGACTTTTTTGGTCAAAAATCACACCATCAGAACCCAGAGAAAATTGGGTCTAATCGGTTCGGATATTTCGACATTTTATGAATAAAAAACAATTTAAACAAGAAAAAAATGTATCTCTTCATGTTCCTTATTTCAAGTAACATTTACATATATAATCCTTTATCAACAGAGGACGCACAATAATAATGAATCCCAAAACAGGAAAAGGTAATATAAGGACGCACAAAAGTGTAACATACATACATACAGTATAACCCATAAAACAGTGGAAAAGGAAGACGACATTTAGGACGCACGTTAAAGCCAGTACAAGACAAATCAATTTGATGTAAATGAAATGTAATGTAAATAAATGGTCCTAATATCACACAATTATGATGAATCACAAAACAGGATAATAATAAGGACGCACTAAAGTGTAACTTACATGCAGTGGAATTTAAAGACGACATTTATGATTTAAACAATATTTGAATAAAGCAAATAGCTTCACTTGTAGCTTGGAAATCAACATACATGCAGTGGAATATGAAGACGACATTTATGATTTAAACAATACTTGAATAAAGCAAATAGCTTCACTTGTAGCTTGGAAATCAACATACATGCAGTGGAATATGAAGACGACATTTATGATTTAAACAATATTTGAATAAAGCAAATGGCTTAAATCAACTTGATTAAGTGAAAAGGTCTGTGTACACTGTGTCTCATGTTTAAATGAAATATTTAAGAAAATAACTTGATTTTTACAGTCGTCGTCCTATTCCACAGTTGTGTGGGTCACACTGTATACGTAAATAATTCTCTGCTTTATATATAACAAACAATACAAAGATATAAAATTCGGTGATGGTTATAGACCAAACCTCTGTAGAGTAAAAAAGTAGATGTTAGTTCCACATTCTATTGAAAATATATTTCGGTCTGGGTTGACCCTCGTCAGTTCTAACGATAAAATAACCATCAAAATCGATAAAAAAATAATAATTACAGTTAACAATTAAATATAAACTATTTTTTTCTGTTCATTCCTCTGAGTTCAGTCATAAAATCTCTGATGTATTTAGATTCTCGTACTTCAAGTAAACTTCTTCCGTGGTCCCAAACCTTCTCTAGAACGCTAACTTTTAGATGGTAGAGTTCATGTCCAGGAAGGTTAAAATGTTAAAAATGTTAAAATGTTAAAAGATAAAGAGCGGTTATTCACTTTAAAACTTATTTTTAAATATTATCTCAAATTTTAAATAAAAATAGTCTGATAATAGATAATAGTATTTGATCTGTAAATAAAAATAAACATTGATTTATATTTATAAATATAAATAAATCTAGGGATTATTAAAGACAGTTTGATTTTTAAAATCCAGAACTTTTAAATGTATTGTAAATCTGTGGATCAGGCGTTGATCACCATCTTATACGGATTAACTTAATTCCACTTCAACTACCCAATACCCATACAGAGACATGTCTACATTAGATATCGAGATTATAGCTTTCATATTAACGATGCTAAACTGTTATTTTTTATTGCGAAAATGGATTATTCACTCGCCCCCCCCCCCTACATGTCCTGCACATGTCCTACGTGTCCTACATGTTCTACGTGTCCTACATGTCCTAAGTGTCCTACGTGTCCTACATGTCCTACGTGTCCTACATGTCCTAAGTGTCCTACGTGTCCTAAGTGTCCTACGTGTCCTACATGTCCTACATGTACATTTTATATGCCTAGCTTGGGAACCCAGCTTGGCCTAGAAACTAAACTAACTTTCCTCTAAAGTCAAACTTAGAATTTTTACACCTAGTTAAAGGGACTGTAAATATATATTTAAGAGACCCTTAATTCGCAGATGTCGACGCCTGATGATTTTGTCTTTTTTAAAAGTTTATAAGTGTTTAATTCTGATAATTCCTTTTTGTCTTCTCTGAAATAAAATGCTCAAGCCATTTTTTAATGAATTATCAGTTTTTAAAATTACAAACATCTAATATTTGAATAAAGCTTTTAAGGGTACTGTTGTGAATCGGGCATTTCCATCTTTGCATAGAGGATCACGTACAGCTCTTTGACGAACATCACCGTGCTTTAACCGAGTACTACAATCCAAATTTGAGACAAATTTCTCGAGGGGTTCATCAACTATAATCGGACAGTGTAGTCCAAAACATTTATAAAAAAATGATATTTTTACCCTTCATGTGAGTTGTGACCGACATATAAACTGTAGGACGACAAGTCTGTAGAAAAAAGCAGAAGTGAAGGACAAATAATATTTTACTCTCTCTGCAGGACAAGTGACGTGTATAGATTTACAATTCCGTGATGGTGATAAACCAAACCTCTGTAGAGAAAAAAAAGTAGATGTTAGTTCCACATTAAATGAAAATATATTTCGGTCAGGGTTGACCCTCGTCAGTTCTTGTTTCTGTCATGAAGATTAAAAACAAACTCTTATGTGTTTAGGACAAACGCTGATTTCTCCTAAATTTGTCCTGCAAATAAGTGAAAGGACAAGATTGTAGGACAAATGACAGAATACCTTAAATTTTCTGCTATGAAAAACCCTAAATTTTCTCTCTCTAAAATCTGGAAAGAAAAAGTCAGTAATACTTTAACACGAGATATATTTTAAATAATAATTAGCAATGTAATATCTAATTTCCACTAGTAGCTAAGTGTACAGTTGGGGCGTTAAAGGGACTTTTGACTTAATTTCAAGTGAGCCCTCATTTTCAAAGTAACATGTCAGATTCACAATGGTGACATTACACTAGAGTACACTGTGTACGAATGCCGCGAAATTGTTTCCGAAAAATGAAACTCGAGAATTGATATTTCCGTTTTCCTTAATATAACATCGGTTTAAAGGGTACCAAAAATGTCGATCTAAAAATGGAAGTTCACTTGAAATAACATGTACAGTCCCTTTCAGTTCAATAAGGAACAATATCTTAATTACAATTATTAAAAAGTCGAGTTTACGAAACAGAATTTAGGTCAGATCGATTCATAATACATGGAATTTAAAGGGAGATGTGACGATTTTTGGAACTTAACGCCACTAAAATGAGTGGTTGGTGCTTTAGTAGATTAGCTAAACATTTTTAAAAAGTCCGCGAAACTTTTTTCTGTTTCATTACCATGTATTATGGATCAGAGCTGACCTAGGTCTAAAATACATTGAATACACATTTACAAACATATAAATAAACTTTTTAAATAATTTTCATAAATTCAAGAATTTTTTTTTAACAGTTTTATCAAGATTAGAAACGAATTCGATGAACAATAAAACTATGCGTTCACTATATAAACATCAATAATATAAGGAATTAAGTATTTTTCATGCTAACCTCCCAAAACTGGATTTTTTTCAAACTTACAACTATGGTTTATTAACTTTGTTTGAGTTTGCAAATTTATTAATTAGTTTGATTGATATGCTGCTATTTAAACATTTAGCCGGGAAATCATTTGTCTGCAAAATATTAACTTTAAGCAGATTTAAAGCAAAATGCGCAAATTAATATTATGGAATAATGTACATGAAACAGAGTACACCACACACCGTACCGTGAGGTGTTGTACGATGATAAGCGTTGAAATTATGTACAGTACTGCGTTTAAAGTTACTGTACATACTTTTAATACCATAGCACAATAAATACTCGCAGTACAGATTACAGTAAAAAGTACAGCGTACGTACTACGTAGTGTAGTACAACGTGTAGTAAGGTGTACAACACAGTAAAGTACAGCGTACAGGTACAGTACAATTCGGGAATGTTATAGCTTGCATAAGTTCTATGAAATGACTTAAAAATAGGAAAATCTAGAATTTTTCAATAAATAATATTTTAATTAATTTTTAATTTATTCGTCGTCTTGTGGCTCCCCTAGATTCTTCAAATCCTCGAGGAAACCCTCAGGAGTCACGAGGTGGGATCCTCCTAGATAATTAGGGATAATTACAAGTAATTAAGGATAATTACCAGTAATTAGAGATAATTACAAGTAATTAGGAATAATTAGGAGGTAATAAGAGATAAATAGGGGGTAATAAGAAGTAAATAGCGATAATTTGAGATAATTAGGTGTAATTAGGGGGTAATTAGTAGTAGTTAGGGGATAATTAGAGATAATTAGGAATAAATACGGGTAATTAGGAGGTAATTGGGAGAATGGGAAGCAATCATAAGGTATTAAGAAGTAATTAGGCAGCAAATAGTGATTAGTAAAAATAAGAGTAATTAAAGATAAATGAGGTGTAATTAGGGTGTATTTGGGGTATTCAGATAATTAGAAAGTAATAAGTAGGTAATTAGAAGATAATTAGAGGGTAACTTAACAGTAATTGTAGGGTCATTGCAAAGTAATTGTAAGGTCATCGGAAGGTAATTAGAAGGTAATTGCAAGGTAATTAGAAGGTAATTAGAAGGCAATCGGGAAATAATTAGACGGTACTCGGATTAGCCTAATCTGGTTAGGCGGGTCCAAACAACATAGTAAAGTGGGATTTTTTATTTATATTATCTCGTGCTTTGTAGTTGAATAAAAATATGAAATATGAATGAATTAAAAAAATAATTAGGATTTATTAGGAGTAATTAGGGGTTATCAGGATTTAATAGGAGTAACTAGGAAAAATAAGGAGTATTGACAAGTGAGGAATAATGAAAAGTAATTAAAAATATAAAAACTAATTACCCATGATAACCTCCCAGTTTTTTCTATCTGTAGTTACTTCATATGCAGCTCTCATCTCACTAAAATTAATTTTTAAATTAAAAAAAAAAATATATAGAATTTAAAAAAATGAGAAAAAACACACAAATATTTGATGTAATTTAGTATTTGTCGTTTGATATCTAATTTAGAATCAGAAACGGAGGTGAGACGTCAATAGAAATTGTAAATTCAAATAAAAGCCTAAATGTTTCAGTTAGTTAACTAAAACCTCTACCTATTTAAAAGCACAATGAATTGATGTCTTATGATTTTGTCGTCTTCCTTTGTTTTCCGGAAACATTGACGTCTTCCTTTGTTTCCCTGAAACATTGTCGTCTTCCTTAATTACCTGAATATTGTCGTCTTCCTTTGTTTCCCTGAAACATTGTCGTCTTCCTTAATTACCTGAATATTGTCGTCTTCCTTTATTTACCTGAATATTGTAGTCTTCCTTTTAACCTGAAATATTGTCGTCTTCCTTTGTTTACCTGAATATTCTTGTCATCCTTTTAACCTAAAAAATAGTCGTCTTCCTTTGTTTACCTGAATATTATCGTCTTCCTTTTATACCTGAAACATTGTCGTCTTCCTTTTATACCTGATTCAGTGACGTCTTCCTTTGACTACCTGAAGCATGTTCCTCCCACGATAAAGCAAATAATACGCGGCACATTCTTGGTCTGCGCATCCTTCTTATCCTTATGCCACTGTCCAAATCTCACACTTAATAAATTGATATTTACTTCAAAACTCTTTTTTTAAAACTATAGTTTAAGGGAGTGTTCGCAAAAAATTAAAGGGGGTATATGAGGATATAGAGAAAATGGTTAAAAACGTGATATACCCAAGAGCGTTGAGTCCATACTTTATTTATTTCATGGACGCTACGCTATGGATAAAAGACGTTTTAAATCATTTTCTACTTATAAAATCAACAATTAAAAGTAAAATTAGTAGCGATCGATAATTGAATTCAATTCGATATCAGCCTATACCACCTTTCATTTTTTGCGAACACTCCCTTTAAGAAAAATAAAAATATGTTTGTTTATAGTTAATTAAGATACCATCTTTTTTTCAGAACAAAGGGTAAAAAAATAATTTTACAGAAGTCAATGTCAAAGTATAAAAAATTCAAAAAATTAATTTTAAAAACAATTCGATTTATGGAATACAAAACAAACAAAGGTTTTAAAACTTTGGATAATTTGTTAATGGAAGTGGGTTAATGTTAGTAATGCTTTCGCAAATATTTTTAATGCGGATTTCTGGGGTAGAAGTCTTTTCAAGATTTGGATCGATTTTTTTGGAATTTTAAGTGTTCAAGTCAATTAATGAACTGAATCAAGAGTTTTAACATAACATATTTAGAATCCGGATCCGGATCTGCATCCAAATGGGAATGGATCCCAAGCACTAGTTTTAGGGTTTTGTCACAGGAGCACACTGTAAACCTTTTATCTGTGCTGAAATCTAACTCCGACTGAGACTTCTTCTGTCTTTTGGGTCTAAATAACTAGGGTCCTAAATTGGTCCTTGAATAACACCATTGAAATAACTAGGGTCCTAAGTTGGTCCTTGAGGAACACCATTTACTCCCAATAAATTTGTTCAATGAACATAAAACACAAAGTTTATGCAGTGTACACAGACCTATTACACTTAAAAGGTTGATGTTGAAGCTTTGTTTGCTTTCTACCAACATCAAATCCACATAAAATAACATAGCCTCATTTTTTTTGTATTTTTCTGGTTGTACAATTTTTCTTTTAATATGTTTTTTAAAATTATATATTCCCAAAATTCTATTAGACTTAAATTTCATGGTCGGTGGCGTTTTTTTGTAGCTGTAAAAGGGGGGGGAGGGAATTATTAAAAAAATCTATCTCATAAAAAAAAACCTCCGTTTGTGTCTGACCTGTTGGGGGCTTGTCTTAGGTTGGTTCCCTGCCTCTGTCCACTCAGGAAAGGGAAGTGGTTGTTGTCCAGCTTATCATCAATAGCATCCTCTACTATATCCTTCACATAACACAACAATCAATAGCATCCTCTACTATATCCTTCACATAACACAACAATCAATAGNATCCTCTACTATATCCTACACACTACACAACAATCAATAGTATCCTATACTATATCCTTCACAATACACAAAAATCAATAGCATCCTCTACTATATCCAACACATTACACAAAAATCAATAGCATCCTCTACTATATCCTAAACAATGTACAACAATCAATTGTATCCTCTACTACTATATCCTTCACATTACACAACAATCAATAGTATCCTCTACTATATCCTACACACTACACAACAATCTATAGTATCCTCTACTATATCCTACACATTACACAACAATCAATAGCATCCTCTACTATATCCTACACATTACACAACAATCATTAGTATCCTCTACTATATCCTACACAATACACAACAATCAATAGTATCCTCTACTATATCCTACACAATACATAACAATCTATAGTATCCTCTACTATATCCTACACAATACATAACAATCTATAGTATCCTCTACTATATCCTACACATTACACAACAATCTATATAGCATCCTCTACTATATCCTACACATTACACAACAATCTATATAGCATCCTCTACTATATCCCACACAACAGTCAAAAGTATGAATATTAAATTGGACATAAACAATATTCTTGGGATAAAAAATAAATTAAGATGTAAACATGTTTTTATCTCCTTCCGATGCTTTAGTATGAATATTTCATTAGCCAAGAAACCTCTTTACCGTAGGAAGGGGGGATAATTTAAAAAATAAATACACCTAAAAAACAACAATCAAACAATCAATAGATATCCTTTACCTTCACTAGAGGAGTCCATCTTGACATTTGATAAGTCTGCTCTGTCACTCTTTCCTTCCTCTTCATGGTCCAAACCTTCTTCCGGTTTCCCTGATACAACCGGAAGTTGGGAAACATGTAAGGGAACGTTCAATAATTTTTAAAAAGAACAACAGAATTTAAATGTAAATGTCGATTTAATTTTTAAAATATTATGATTGATTTTTTTAAAAGGGTGGAGGGTAGATGGAGAAATAGAAAAACCTTTATAAATGGATAGATAGATAAAGATATATAGACAGATAAATAGATAGATGATACGGACAGATACAGATATATAGAATAGACAGATAGATAGATAGATAGATACAGATAAATAGACAGATAAATAGATAGATGATACAGATATATAGACAGACAGATAAATAGATAGATGATACAGATATATAGACAGATAGATAGATGATACAGACAGATAGATAGCTAGATAGATAGATAGATACTTACATCAACAATGACATTGACTCCTAGGTTTGACATATTTTTAATGATGGTAGTTTGATCTCCAGGAATCTAGAACATCATTTATTAAATAAATTACAATGATATTTGATGATAAATTACGTTGCGTTGATATTTTACATCTATACGTTATTGATATGTTACATTAATATATTATTGATATGTTGCATTGATGTTACATTAACACATTATTGATATATTGCATTGATATGTTACATTGATATGTTACATCGATCATATATCATAATCAATTCATATGTTAAATAAATTACATTGATATTTGATGATAAATTACGTTGTGTTGATATGTTGCATCTATACATTATTGATTTGTTACATTAATACATTATTGATATGTTGCATTGACACATTATTGATATGTTGCATTGACATGTTACATTGATATGTTTTTGTTATGTTGCTTTGATGATACATTGATACATATTATTGATATGTTGCATTCATATGTTACAATGATACATTATTGATACGTCACATTAGTACGTTATTGATATTTTTCGTTGATACATTAATGATATGTTGCATTCATACATTATTGATATGTTGCGTTGAAATGTTTCATTGATATGTTATTAATATGTTACATTGATACGTTATCAATATGTTGCATTGATGTTACATTGTTACGTTATTGCTATGTTGCATTGGTACGTTATTGATATGTTACATTAATACATTATTGATATGTTGCATTGATATGTTACATTGATTCGTTATTGATATGTTGCGTTCATATGTTACAATGATACATTATTGATATCATTGGTTNGAACTATCCTCTCCCCCTTACCTTTCAATCCCCTACCTCCCCTTTCCTCCCATCTAACCTGGTAGTTTTTATGAACTATCCTCTCCCCCTTACCTTTCAATCCCCTACCTCCCCTTTCCTCCCATCTAACCTGGTAGTTTTTATGAACTATCCTCTCCCCCTTACCTTTCAATCCCCTACCTCCCCTTTCCTCCCATCTAACCTGGTAGTTTTTATGAACTATCCTCTCCCCCTTACCTTTCAATCCCCTACCTCCCCTTTCCTCCCATCTAACCTGGTAGTTTTTATGAACTATCCTCTCCCCCTTACCTTTCAATCCCCTACCTCCCCTTTCCTCCCATCTAACCTGGTAGTTTTTATGAACTATCCTCTCCCCCTTACCTTTCAATCCCCTACCTCCCCTTTCCTCCCATCTAACCTGGTAGTTTTTATGAACTATCCTCTCCCCCTTACCTTTCAATCCCCTACCTCCCCTTTCCTCCCATCTAACCTGGTAGTTTTTATGAACTATCCTCTCCCCCTTACCTTTCAATCCCCTACCTCCCCTTTCCTCCCATCTAACCTGGTAGTTTTTATGAACTATCCTCTCCCCCTTACCTTTCAATCCCCTACCTCCCCTTTCCTCCCATCTAACCTGGTAGTTTTTATGAACTATCCTCTCCCCCTTACCTTTCAATCCCCTACCTCCCCTTTCCTCCCATCTAACCTGGTAGTTTTTATGAACTATCCTCTCCCCCTTACCTTTCAATCCCCTACCTCCCCTTTCCTCCCATCTAACCTGGTAGTTTTTATGAACTATCCTCTCCCCCTTACCTTTCAATCCCCTACCTCCCCTTTCCTCCCATCTAACCTGGTAGTTTTTATGAACTATCCTCTCCCCCTTACCTTTCAATCCCCTACCTCCCCTTTCCTCCCATCTAACCTGGTAGTTTTTATGAACTATCCTCTCCCCCTTACCTTTCAATCCCCTACCTCCCCTTTCCTCCCATCTAACCTGGTAGTTTTTATGAACTATCCTCTCCCCCTTACCTTTCAATCCCCTACCTCCCCTTTCCTCCCATCTAACCTGGTAGTTTTTATGAACTATCCTCTCCCCCTTACCTTTCAATCCCCTACCTCCCCTTTCCTCCCATCTAACCTGGTAGTTTTTATGAACTATCCTCTCCCCCTTACCTTTCAATCCCCTACCTCCCCTTTCCTCCCATCTAACCTGGTAGTTTTTATGAACTATCCTCTCCCCCTAACCTTTCAATCCCCTACCTCCCCTTTCCTCCCATCTAACCTGGTAGTTTTTCATGCACTCCTCCGCCAGATGGAGATGTGTTGAGAACTTAGCCAGCTCCTGTACAATCAATCAATTATTTAATCAATCAATCAACAATCAAGCAATCAAGCAATCAATCAATCAAAACAGCCTAAATCAATCATTAAATAAAAACATTCCTAAATCAATCAATCAATCAAGAAATATGTCAATCAATTAATCATTTCAGTATGAATTAATCATTGAATCCATCAATCCAATAATCAATGTGTTAATCAATAAATAAATAAATCAATCGGTAAATCAAACAATTAATCAAAGACGACACCAACCTTCTGATGTTGCGGCATTTTCTTAATCATCTGGGAGAGATCTTTGATGGATGCTTTGTCATTGCTCTGAACTCTTTTTTCCTGAAAAATTAAAAAATAATCTTTATAAAAAAGCTCTACGCTCATATATATATCTCAGCTATATCCGGCCAAAGGCATTGACTAACATTTTTTGAGAAAACCCATGGGTTCCCGAGGGGTAACAAAGGCCAACATTTAAAAAAAAAATTTTCCTTCAAAAATTTAAATTATCTTAATTAGTTTTTTTAAATTCCAGCGGCAACGCCGGACACTTCAGTTAGTATTACATATTATTTAATTGCACAAAAAATGGTCAGAGGTTTATATTTTGTTTTAGATGCATACAACGAGTATATATGAAAAGTTAATCAAATTCTCAATATATATATATGTATACATATGTATATATATAAATATATTTGAATATATTTAAATAAATTTTCCGGGAATATTCTTCCGGCAGGCAGAAATAGAAATGAATATTTTTTCTCAAAATAAAATCCAAAAATACTTTCATTTATAGAGTTTTTAAATCACTTTAGATAAAATTTACGGGAATCCTAGGACTTCTTAGGGGAAATATTATGTTAGAATAAAGAATAAAATATTATGTTAGAATAAAGAATCAAAATATTATGTTAGAATAAAGAATCAAAATATTATGTTAGAATAAGGACATTTTTTGCCCCTTAGATCCGGATCCAGAAAGCCAAAATGTTGAAAATCCAGCGGATCCGGATCCTAAGCACTGGTTCACTTTGAATACAAAGAAACTGATTATTATTTTCAGTTTTTTCCGTTTATTTACCACAAAAAAAAACCCAATAAATATGTTATTTGTCAATAATGGTAGTACAGTACATTAGAAGGACTGTCGCTTTACTACATAGGCCTTATTTAAAGAGGGGAATATGTATGTATGAGCCAAGTTCAATAATGCGTAGATGAAGCAGGAACCGTGTTTAAACCAGGAAGATTATCTGAATTGTACTTAAAGAAGGAGTTGGAGAATATACTTTAGTCCCGCATACCATCTTGCGGGGTTCACATACACTTTATATTCGGCAATGTTTTTATTAATTGGAATAAAATATACAATAATAATAGTATCTTTAGTTGTGCTAGTTGGCTAGTTATGCATTTAGGTACCTTCCCACCTACCAGACTTTTGTCGGGTATACATAACCGATTCACAACAGTGCCCATTCAACCATTAACTGATCAAAATGTGGAAAATAACGTCGTTCTTTTATATTAAAATGTATTTCTGACAATTTGTTCCATTGTTTCTGTTACAGAAATCCACAAGTCACTTCTAAAGCGAAACCATATTTGAATATAATTAATCTTTAAAGTTAAAAATATAATTATCCCATTCATTCTGGATCATACAAAACTTTTAAGCAGTGCTTAGGATCCGCAAGATTTTGGCTTCCTAGATCCGGATCCGGATCCGCAAAAATATGCGGATCCACGGATCCGGATCCCAGGGGTAAAATATCAACCAAAAACTGCAAAAAAAAATCTTTTTTACTCCAAAACACCAAATCTGAACTTTTGAAAAAAAAGAAAGATTATAAAAATTTCCTCATATTTGAATGGTTCATCAAGTTTTAGGATGAAAATAAGCGAAAAAAATAAAATCAAAAATTTGAAATTTTTTTTGTTAAAAAAATTCAGTAAATCTTAAAGAAATGACCCGGATCCGGATCCGCATCAAAATTGAATGGATCCTAAGCAATGCTAATATCTTTTGAGATCATTTCTGTTTTTGACCTGCAAATGTTTTATTTTTGAAATCCCTCCCCAACCCAGCGGAAGAAGGGGAAGGCCGGGGGGTTATTCTTTAATATATAATATAAACCCTCAGAGTACTGACCTGATTAAACTTCTTGAGTTTCTTGGTAACATTCTGTGATACAACAGCAATATGCTGATGTCTCATTTCAACCCATAGATCATCATTCTCATCCAGTAGCACCTAGTAGATATATAGATAGATAGATAGATAGATAGGTAGATACAACAGCAATATGTTGATGTCTCATCTCAACCCATAGATCATCATTCTCATCCAGTAGTACCTAGTAGATATATAGATAGATAGATAGATANTATAAATATCCCATTCATTCTGGATCATACAAAACTTTTAAGGGCACAGATGTGAATCAGACATGCCCCTCGACCACTTCCCTCCCCCATCCCTCCCCAACCTGACGGAAGAAGGGGAAGGCCGGGGGGTTATTCTTTAATATATAATATAAACCCTCAGAGTACTGACCTGATTAAACTTCTTGAGTTTCTTGGTAACATTCTGTGATACAACAGCAATATGTTGATGTCTCATCTCAACCCATAGATCATCATTCTCATCCAGTAGAACCTAGTAGATAGATAGATAGATAGATAGATATATAGATATATAGATAGATAGATAGATGGATGGATAGATAGGTAGATATATAGATACAACAGCAATATGCTTATGTCTAATCTCAACCCATAGATCATCATTCGCATCCAGTAGTATCTAGTAGATATATAGATATATAGATAGATAGATAGATAGATAGATATATAGATGGATAGATAGGTAGATATATAGATACAACAGCAATATGCTGATGTTTCATTTCAACCCATAGATCATCATTCTCATCCAGTAGTACCTAGTAGATATATATATAGATAGATAGATAGATATATAGATGTATAGATAGATAGATATGTAGATACAACAGCAATATGTTGATGTCTCATCTCAACCCAAAGATCATCATCCTCACCCAGTAGTATCTAGTAGATAGATAGATATAGATACAAATAAATTGATAGTTAACAGAGAGATCTATAATAGATCAAACAGAAGCATATATATAGATAAATAAACAATGAATGTATATATATAGGTAGATGGACAAAATTTAGATCTTTTAAATATTTTTTTTTTATTATTTTACCTCTTTCATTGTTCCTGGGTTAGCTTCGTACTTGTAAACATCGTTCTGTATGTCAAGCAGATCAAATGCCATGGCCTAGAATATCAGAAAGTCAAGCAGATCAAATGTCATAGCCTAGAATATATGAAAATCAAGCAGATCAAATGCCATAGCCTAGAATATATGAAAATCAAGCAGATCAAATACCATAGCCTAGAATATCTGAAAGTCAAGCAGATCATATAGCCTAGAATATATAAAAGTCAAGAAGATAAAATGGCATATTCTAGAATATGTAAAAGTCAAGAAAATAAAATGCCATAGCCTAGAATATATGAAAGTCAAGCAGATCAAATGCCATAGCCTAGAATATATGAAAGTCAAGCAGATCAAATGCAGCCTAGAATATATGAAAGTCAAGCAGATCAAATGCCATAGCCTAGAATATATGAAAGTCAAGCAGATCAAATGCCATAGCCAAGAATATATGAAAGTCAAGCAGATCAAATTCGAAGACTAGTCAAGGAGATAAAGTGCCATAATGCAATATCAATCTGGGTGAAATAATAATAATAATAATAAAAACTTTGTCCTCTCGTAAATAAGTATTTTGTAAAATCTGAGCCCCTTTTCAGAAAAATATTGTGTGTTTATATTTTTGGAACATCTACCCTCCTAGATATATAGATAGATAGATAGNCTGACCCGATCCTATGGTACACTACGTCGCCCTAACCAGACTAACATACGACAGGGGTCAATTTTCTTGGCTAACTATGACAAATCCCATGGCGCGTTCAGACTTTTTACAGTACCCGGCCTAATCCTAGGCTTATTTTACCGACCCCACTGGCTTAGTCCACCGCGCCATCTTGGAATATTGACCTGGAATGTAAGTTCATGCAGAAGCGCAGTGGAAGTATCGAATCCTCGATCCAGGATAATCAACTGGGATTTAGCTTTCTCAGGACCCTCTCCCATAGTTGGTTCATCAGCCTGGAATCAATCAATCAATCAATCAATCAATCAATCAATCAATCAATTAATCATGTTAGTTCAAACCAACGTGGTGGTTCAATTGACCTGGTTTCGATTGGATTAGATTCAATCAGCTCAGCTCTGATTTGAAAACTTTAGAATTGTAAATATTGAGTTAATCTTTGGTATGTATCCGGAAAAGTGTAGAAAATTCAACCAAGAGAGTTGCGTTTACAGAATCCTGAACAGCCAATCGGAAGCCGGAAAATTTGAAATTTTTCACGCCATAATGAGAGAACTCTCATTGGTCGGAATCTGGTAGAGTTACTGAAAAGAGAGAAAAAGAGTGGATTAAGCAGGAAATTATAAGTGTCCGCATTGGATATTCAGATAAATCAATTTTTGGTCAGATTTGATCAAAATTTGTCCCACCCCTTAAGAGTCCCTTAGTCCCCCCATCTTTTAGCTTTATGATAACAACCTATTACCTTGTAGGCATCTAGTTTCTGCTGAACAAGTTGGGCCAACTCACCATTCTTCTCATAATCCCTAGATTAGATAATTTAGAAACGAGCAGAGGTATATACTAAAATTGATTTTCCAAGATTTGAGGAAGAAAATTAAACATGAATTTAGTTCCCCAATAAAATGTTTCACTTTAACTTTACCAATTCAGTGCTAAAAGACCCAAACATACATTTCTATGATAATAGTTTTTTTCTATGTTAAAAGTTTTTTTTTGAAAAAGAGGAGTGTTGATTAGTTAAGCTTGACAAAGTTGAATTGGAAAAATTAAATGTGTTTATTTAAACTTTAATGTTTAAAATGTATCGTCATCAAATAAAAAACAATATTATTTTGACAATCTATAAAAAATTAATATGCTTGTAAGTTCTAAAAATAAATAAATATTTTCTAATAATAATAATTAATGCTGCAAAATACAATCTAACTTTAAAATATTAGATCGAGCAAAAAAGGAAAAAAAAACAATAAGACAAGAAAAAAGGGCAATAAGAGAAAGAGAGAAAGAGAGAAAAGAGAGAAAGAGAGAATAGGAGAAAGAGAGAATAGGAGAAAGTGAGAACAAGAGAAAGAGAGAATAGGAGAAAGTGAGAACAAGAGAAAGAGAGAATAAGAGAAAAAGAGAACAAGAGAAAGAGAGAATAAGAGAATAAGAGAAAGAGAGAAAGAGAGGAAGAGAGAAAGAGAGAATAAGAGAAAAAGAGAACAAGAGAAAGAGAGAACAAGAGAAAGTGAGAACAAGAGAAAGAGAGAATAAGAGAAAGCGAGAACAAGAGAAAGAGAGAACAAGAGAAAGTGAGAACAAGAGAAAGAGAGAATAAGAGAAAGCGAGAACAAGAGAAAGAGAGAACAAGAGAAAGAGAGAACGAGAGAAAGAGAGAACAAGAGAAAGAGAGAATAAGAGAAAGAGTGAAAAAGCAAAAGAGAGAAAGAGAGAAAGAGAGAATAAGAGAAAGAGATAATAAGAGAAAGAGATAATAAGAGATAGAGATAATAAGAGATAGAGACAATAAGAGAGAGAGAGAACAAGAGAAAGAGAAAATAAGAGAAAGAGAGAATAAGAGAAAGAGAGAATAAGAGAAAGAGAGAACAAGACATAGAGAGAACAAGAGAAAGAGAGAACAAGAGAAAGAGAGAATAAGAGAAAGAGAGAATAAGAGAATAAGAGAAAGAGAGAATAAGAGAAAGAGAGAATAAGAGAAAGAGAGAATAAGAGAAAGAGAGAATAAGAGAAAGAGAGAATAGGAGAATAAGAGAAAGAGAGAAAAAGCGAAAGAGCGAAAGAGAGAAAGAAAGAAAGAGAAAAAAGAGAAAGAGAGAAAATGAGAAAGCGAGAAAGAGAGAATGAGAGAAAGAGATAAAAGGAAAAAGAGAGAAAGAGAGAATAAGAGAAAAAGAAAAAACAGTTTAAGAGAAAGAGATAAGAAGACTCTAAGACAAGAAGAGCAGAAGAAAATAGACCAGATAGAACATTAAACCAAGAATGCAAGAGGTTATGATGTTGAATTTGTGAAAACAAGATGAAAAGACAGAAAGATAAAAGACAGAAAGATAAAAGGACAGAAAGATAAAAAGACAGAAAGATAAAAGGACAGAAAGATAAAAAGACAGAAAGATAAAAGACAGAAAGATAAAAGACAGAAAGATAAAAGACAGAAAGATAAATTATTTATAAAGAAGCGTTTTGGTGCCCTAAAAAGGCTAACAACCAGGTTTCAAAGTGAAAAGTAACAGACTAACTTTTTAAAGAAGAAACCATGACATTGCTATTGAAAGGAAAACATGATATTTTTCCCCAAAAAAGGTTTTGTTCAAGCAAGCAAAATATACTTTGCTAGATTGCAATTTCAGTCGCAATCTTGGGACAAGTCGACAACTAGTGACGCTGCTCACTAAGCCGCGGAGCCCCCTCTCCCTGAACTCCCTGAACTCCCTGAATTCCCTGAATTCCCTGAACTACTGAACTCCCTGAACTCTCTGAACTCCCTGAGCTACCTGAACTCCCTGAACTCCCTGAACTACCTGAGTGGGTTGTAGTAGAACTGGAATGCATCTGGAATATCCAAAGAGAAAACCTGAAAAATCATAATTTTATTTTTAAAATAATTATAAATCGACTCAAATGGCCAGAGAAAAATTCCTACTTAAAAGAACTGTTGTGATATCCCTTGACCTTATATTAAAGAAAAGGACAAGGTACTCTCGACACCTTCAACTATGTGGAAGATAACGCCGTTTTTCCTTGATTTACTTTAGGAAGAGAAACTACAGTTAAAAATAGTCAGTTTTCACAATTATAAACATGGATATCTAATTCATACTTGATCAGACAAAGCTTTAAAGGGTACCGTTGTGAATCTATAAATGGAGGGTCACATAAGATTATGTTTACATTAACATCAGCACATTTTAAAGCTTTCTTTTATTTCTTATTCCTTATAATCAAGAAGTTTGTCTATAAAAGTGACTTAATGATTTCTCCTACAAAAAGAATGGAGAAAATTGCCAGAATCAGGTTGAAAAAAATTTGTTGAAAAATATAAGTTAAAAAAAAAACGAATGTATCTTCCACATTTTTGATTAGGTTTAAAGGGCACCGTTGTGAATTGGGCATGCCTTTTTTCTTTTTTTTAAATAAAGAGTTTCTTGAGATTACAACCACAGTACCTTTGAAGTCCTTGGGTTTGGAGAAAAGACAAGCTGAGCTTTGTGATAATTAAACATGTTTAATTTATTATTGAAAAAAAAAATCTTTTTCTGACCATTACTGAACAAGGACAATGGTGGTTAGTTTGCATGCAAAACAGTACAAACAGCTTTTTAGTTGTATACAGGGGTATATATTTTCAGGAAAAATTATCCCTCCTTCTTCAAATTAGTTTCCCCCCAGTTTCTTAGTCATGTTAAAGAGGTTGAAAAAAACTTGCTACACCCCCCCCCTCTAAAATAATCTTTAATTCTAGAAAATATATACCCCCGGGTTTATGAACCATGCTCTAAAATTTAATCCAACTAACCCAGGTTCTAGTGAGGAAAGAATACTATTTTAATCACAAAGTAGTCGCTTCAATATAATAAATCCTTTTGATTATATATCTTAACAATAAATCTGCTTTTCTGTTTAAACTCATGAAAACCGACCCCTGATTTCCTGCTATCTGCATTTTTAAAGAAACTTTTGTGCACTTTATCATTATGGCTCATTTCATGCTAAATTTCATTATTGCAATGATATGTACAATCATTGTTCTGTATTGTTAAATTAACTGTATATTCTAGCATTTGGTACAAAATTTAATGGTTTATTAAAAAGAGGAAAATGAAGAAAATATAAGGTAAAATATTGGAAAACATACAAAAAATTATGAAAAACTAGAAAAGAAGAAAACATTTGAATCTGATAAAAAAATGTAAAAATGTTGAAAATAAGTAAATGAAATCATGAAATGAGATTGAAACTTTTGGATAACAGAGTTCAAACTCAAAATCAACCAGAGAAATTATGAGTACGGGGAACCATCATTTGAAGGTAAAAAAGAGCCATTTCAATGAATAGTGATTCCGAACATTTCTTTTTCCAAATGGATTAATTTCAGCGGGAAGAAATGATTTAATTTGAAAAATTTTGAACAAAGAGAAATGAGAAAGTAGAAACGAATTAACCATACAAATGTTCCAACCTCTCCTAACTCTACTGGAACCTACTAACCTGAGACTCATACGGAGTGAACGCAATGTTAATCTCCTTCAAGGTTTTTATTCGTTTTGCCGCCAAGGAGTTACAAATCTCCTTAAACCTTTCCTCCGGCAGGGCTAGCATGCGAACAAGTAACATTAAGTACAGCGCTAGTCCAAAGCGGGGATGTCAATTTTCCAAAGGGATAAATTTCGAGATTAGTTTTGAGATTGAAATTATGCTGTCTCTGATGTTGTTTCACAAATAGATTAAACATAATTACAAACTGAACATATTCATCAGCATTTAGTTGTCATGCACCATCTTTATTTGGAAATAAGAAGATACTTAATTTAAAACGGAAACACAGTTTTTTTTGGTTGTAAAATGCAAGGTTTTTTGTTTTATAAGTTTCCCAAAAGTTTTATTTGTAAATGACGACAGAGTTAAAAAAAAGACTGAAAGACTGGTGCAAAACATAAGAACAAGTAGTTAACACTGCTTCTTTGTAAATTGCCAGATGATTGTTTTTTAACGAACTTTGTGAGTTTGCATTTATAATAAGTTGTTTGAAGACAACAAGACCTTTTGTTGATTAAAACCCGGATGTGTTGCTGGAAGACATTGAGAGGATGATATGTTTGTGAAGAAACAGACAAGATGTTTATTTACAACAACCTGATGTGTCTGTGTTAGAAACAAAATATCATGCAGCGCCTTTGAATTAAAGATTTATAACGAACACCAAGTTTGTTTGTAAGCATAAACCAGGGGTATATATTTTCGAGAATCCCCCTTTTCACGCATTCACAAGCTATGGAGATAAAATTGAGGACCTCCTTTTAAAGAGAGTGTCTGTCTAGACTTCGTAGTTGAGCTGAGAGTGCAGTATTGTTGAGAAATTTTTTAGAAATTATTTAAGACCTTTCAGACATTTGTGCACATAATTGCTAAGTATCATTTCAAAATCGATCTTTAAAATCCATTGGTTCTCGCCCTCAGGCAAGTCGTGGCGCTGCATGTCTGCCCGCAGCTATTGAATTCGACATGACTGTCTGCTGGTTGTGGTGCAGCATGCAGGAATACTGCACTCTCAACTCAATTACCAGGTCTAGCCAGACACTCCCTTTAAAAGCATTTACAACCTCATTTTGATACCATCAACCCAAATAATAATTTCGCTCTTTTTGAAGGAGAGGGGATTTTTCAAGAAAATATACACCCCTGTAACAACAGCTAGAACCTGAGATTCATATGGGGTAAAAGCAATGTTAATTTCTCTTAGAGATCGGATAAACTTAGTAACTTGATGCTTGCACAGTTCATTAAACACCGCTTCGGGACAAACTGAACATATTAAAGGGAATGTTCCATCATTTTTTATTGGATTAACTAAAAATAACCAACTGGCCCCTTACTTTTTTAATCCAGATTTTTTTGGGATAAAAATAATTAAAAACAATTCTAAATTAAGAAATTATTTTCTTTTTTATTTGCAGGTTTATAGGAGACATTAAAAAACTCGTTTTGTAATGATTTCAACACAAAATTGCGCATTTTGTAAAAAATTTTAATCAAAAATTGCGCAATTGTTAAAATATTCTATCACCGTCACCTTCACCAAGTTATACCATATTAGTAATCATAATGTTAGTCATAAGTAAAGGAGATTGAAAATATCTTTGATTTTCAATCTTCATTGGGAAAATTCAAAACCTTGATTATTCATTGATTCCTTAAATAAATGCCACCACCAAATCAGAGATATAAAGAAAGAAAATCTTAAATCTAAATTAACTTAACCCGTGAATATTTCAAGTGACCATCTTTGCAAATACGGCAACGGTATCCTTGGAACCTTCATTTGAATAAAAATGTGGAAGATAACGTCGGTTTTCTGACGCGAATAGTGTTATTTCTGTGAATTTCTCAATTGCTTCTTATACGCAAGAAAAGCACAACTTCACAAGTCACTTCCGCTGAGAAACCGCAATTAACAATTAACAGTTTAAAGAAACATAATCATTGATATCTAATTCATACTTGAACAGACAATGCTTTTAAGGGTACCGTTGTAAATCGGGCATTTTTACATGGAGGGTCAATTGAATTACGCTTACAGTGCCTTTAATAATAAATTACGCTTACAGTCCCTTTCAGATTAAGAGTTTCTAAAAAGTGACTTTACAGTGTAGACATAATTACAAGTAACTGTCTATTTATTAAGCTTTGTTTCATCAAGAAGGAATGATATATCCATGTTTTTAACTTTAAAAATTAAATATTTTACACGTGTTGGTTCCGTTAAAAAGGTACTTTTGGATTTGAAACAGAACAGAAAAATGCGAGAGAACATAAAAACGAAGATATCTTCCAAATAAAGGTTTCGTTGTGAATCAGATGAAACCCTCTTTTTTTAACATGAAGGGTAACTAAAAATCTAAGAAAAACTTCAGGATTAAATTAGGGATGGATTAGTTTAGTTTAGAACAAATTCAGAATTATATTTTCTTTCCCTAGATCCTCACAGGTGGATATAATGTTCTGTTCTTTCCTGGGTTAATTTAATAAAGGGTTCTTCAGCTGTAAGGGTATTTATTTTTATACTTTATATTCAGGAGAGTGTGGGGCAAGGGGATGATGTTACATACTTTTTTTAAACTGGTAACCCAACATTATCAAAACCCCTTTAACATTTTCCATCCCCAGTTTATTATAGCAGAAATAAATTGAAAAGGAAAAAAAACAGAATTTTAATTAAATGAATACCCCTAATTTCAGTGTTAAGGTGGGCAGGGGGTACAGAACATTATATACCTCTTAATCCACAACCAATGTACTTTAAAGGAACTGTCGACATAATTTCATGTAACTTTTATTTAAAGAAATGTCATGAACGATTCACTACGGTACTCTTCAAACCTTTATCTGATCTAATTTGTAACGTAGGTTGAGAAGTGTTTAATTCTGATGGATTTTATGCAGTAGAAATGCACAAGGAACTTTTGTAGAGAATATCTATTTCATTCTTGATCGAACACAATATTGAAGTGTACTGTTGTGAATCAGACATCCCGTTAAAGGATCACTTGAAATATACGTGTAGAGTCCCTTTAATATTCCCTAAAAAAATCTTTAATAGCCCATAACCTTTTTGTGACTAAAGCTAAATATCTAAAAACTATATTTTTGAAAAGCCCTTGAAAAATGTATGTAAAAACATGTGTCACACTTTGATAATTGTTAAAAACAAAAAAAAGGGGGGACAGAACATTATATTCCTCTTTATCCACAACCAATGTACTTTAAAGGGACTATCGACATAATTACAAGTAACTTTTATTTAAAGAAATGTCATGAACGATTCACTACGGTACCCTTCAAACCTTTATCTGATCTAATTTGTAACATAGGTTGAGAAGTGTTTAATTCTGATGGATTTTATGCAGCAATTTATGCAGTAGAAATGCACAAGTAACTTTTGTAGAAAATATCTATTTCATTTTTGATCGAACACAATATTGAAGTGTACTGTTGTGAATCAGACATCCCGTTAAAGGATCACTTGAAATATACGTGTACAGTCCCTTTAATATTCCCACCTTACTCTCGTAGGGAATAAATGAAACATTAACTTCAACAAAAGATTTAAAATGTTTCACTGCTCCACTAGCAGCCAATTCTTTAAACAAGCTTTGGGGCAATGCTGAAAACAAAAATTATTAAAAATAAAATAAAAAGTCCCCCCCCCCATATTTGGTTTAGAACAACAAACAAACAAACAACAGCTGATACCTTCAGTGAAGTAAACGTGGGCAGCTTTGTACTGAGTTCGATTCTGACTCTGAAATTAAAGAAAATTATTTGACAGGGAAATTATAGATAATCCCAAGGGAAGGTAATTAAGCATCATAATATCCCACCAGATAAGTAAACCAGAGGGAAATTATAAACATCCCAATTATATTAACAGTCAGTACTTCAGAAATTGTTATGGGTGCCACATGAATCATGATAATGATTACTTCATGCATTAATTGATGTAAAATAATGCATGAGTGGGAAAAAAAACATTAAAAAACAACAAAAGTCTAACTTGTTTTCTCTGTAAGTTTCCTAAAATTTTAAGCAAAAATATTAAAGAAAGTCAATTTTTACAACGCATTTGCTCGTTCGTTGTTTTTTTCTCGTAAACGAACTAAAAATTTACGGTTGTTGCCGTTAATCAACGGAGTCTTCAGTTAATTTTCAAAAGATCTGTTGTTCGTTAATAGAACATTGGCCAAATAGATTATCAAGTACAAAAGGAGGCAACAGAGAAATGGACCAATTATACACGACGTCACAAGTGTCAAATATAACAAGGTAAACGAAATTTTCTCACATTAGTTGGCATGTTTTCCAAGATTAAATAAAAAAGTGTAACACAGAAACTAAAGAAGACATAAAATTGCACTTTATTCTAAAATTATTACTATTATTAATAATTTTGTCAGACACAAAACTAAATTGACACGTGTGACATAAGAATACAGCTGAACTGAAAGTGCACACAAATTATACGTTGCCATCTATTGCACTAGAATCTATTTGAAAGTACATGAAAGTACATGAAAGTACATGAAAGTACATGAAAGTACATGAAAGTACATGAAAGTACATGAAAGTACATGAAAGTACATGAAAGTACATGAAAGTAACTAACCTGAAAATCACCCATGAGGCAGCGAACACTGTTTTGGTTTGGAGTTATTAAATAGATAGCCTCCATAGCTGGCATTGGCTCCCTTTTCTTTTCTACTGTCTCAACAACTAGATAAATATATAGATAGATAGATAAATAGATAGGTAGATAGATCAATAGATAGGTAGATAGATCGATAGATAGATAGATAGATAGATAAATAGATAGATAAATAGATAGATCGATAGATAGATAGATAGATAGATAAATAGATAGATAGATAGATAGATAAATATATAGGTAGATAAATAGATAGGTAGGTAGATAGATAGATAGATAGATAGATAGATAGATAGATAGATAGTTAGATAGATAGTTAGATAGATAGATGAATAATATTAAGAGAGATACAAGAAAGATAAGTGAAAAGATAAATTGATATATATATAGAGATAGATAAATAGATAAGGATAGATTAATAGGTGGATAGATACATAGATAGATAGCATTGTAGATAGATACATAATTAGATAAATGTAGACAGATAGATAAAGAGGAAGAAAAGGGGAGGAAAGAGAAAGAAAAGGGGGAGAAAAGAGGAAGAAAAGGGGGAGAAAAGGTAAAGAAAGGAGAAAAAAGGGGAGATGAAGGGGGAAGAAAAGTATATGTTGGGATAATGTAAGAAACAAGGGGTTTAAATGTACAAAAAAGGGAGAGGAAAGGAGGATACAATGTGAGCGGAAAAAAGAGAGGGTAAGGGGTAAAATGGGAGGGAAAAAAGGGGAATAATGTGATGGGCGGAGGGGGGAGGAAATTATATTAATGAAATTAATATTTACTTGTAATTCCTTCAGCAGAGAGTTCATGCATTTTAGTACAAGCAGAGACCATTCTCATACTTAAATCATCCACAACCTAAACAATCAATCAATCAATCAACCATTTGATCTATCAGTCAATTAATCAATTAAACCATCCTCATACTAAGATCATCCACAACCTGGACAATCAATCAATCAATTAACCAAGCGGAGACCATCCTCAATCTCCCTTCTTACGACATTCACAACTGGCAAACAATCAATCAAATTTATTAACTATTTATCCTTTCATATATCCATTTCTTCCATTTAATCAATCAACCATATCAATAAAAAACAACCAACCAACCAACCAACCCACCAACCCACCAACCATCCAACCTACCAACCAACCAACCAACCCTTAAAACCAAGCTTTCTTTTTAAAAACCAATAATTCAATCAATCAATCAATCAATAAATCTATCAATTTACTCACAAGAACCCTCCATTCTATCTTTCCCGGTGTCTTGTTGTGAGCTTGAACTGTCGCCCGTATCACGTCATTCATAATCTCTAAACATAAACAACGTTAGTAAATAATAAACAGGGGGTTCAACGGGTGGGATACCTACCTGTCAGGGGTGTATAAAAATAAGCTGTTTTACTCCCCTAAATAAAAAATCATATCCCCTCCTTCCCAGGGGAGGCGTAATTCTGAAAAATAAATACCCCTGGATCCTGTTTTTAAACAAATTAAAAATATAATCTAATGAATCAAGTAGTAAGCTCTGATTGTATGTCCAATCATAACTCTCAAACCCCTGGACTGATTTGCCTCAAATTCAAGGCTTGGTTCCCAAACAAATAAACAATATTAGTAAATATTCTGTAATCAAAATCATTTCTAGACAAAAACAAAAATTATTTTTTTTTAGTCCTAAAATGTCATGTTAGTAATAATTGAGGCCCCTATAGTAGACTCTGTATCCAAGCCCCCAGACTCTCCTGTCCGCGGCGCTCAGTCCAGAAGTTGTCTTAACCCAACCTAACCCCTGAATTTGAGAAGCACTGCTTCACAGATAGGGTCCAGGCTTCCATACAGGACCTTCGTAATGACTGACAGCAGGACACTGGACACTGTGAGAGGGCGCTTGTCCTTGACAGGTAGAGAAGGGCTTTCTTGTCGATGAGTGTCATCTTGTCGACTGCAAGTGACTTGCCAGCCATCACCAGCTGCCGCAGCAACCTCCTTGACTAGCTGCTTGTTTCTGCAGCTGAAGATCTTTGACCGTTGGCCTGAGAAGATTTGTTCAAGTTCTAAGAGTACAATCTCCTCAATTCTGGCCCTAGCTGTAGCCAGAACCCCATCAGCATCATGAAGAGCTGAAGGGCTTCCAGCCTTCTTGACAGCATTTGGAACAAGAAGCCAAAACTGCTTGGAGGTCATTGATTTCATTAGCCTGAGCCTGTTTCTACGAATCCTTCTCCTGAACAGGGCCCTTTCTCCAATCTGGAGTCTGAGAGCTGAGCTATACTTGGTTAACTCGGCTCCCTTCAGCTCTCCCACCCCACCCGGGGGGAACCCAACAACTCTCCTCTCAATGGATAATCTCCTGTCCACTTCCTCTGCCCGCATGCAGCAGGCCCTAGCCCTACCCAGAGCTTTAGTAGGGACAGATGACCTTTTGACAGTCTGAGTAGGTAAATCGGCCTGGTCAGCAGCCAGTACCAAAGTATTATGAAGAGCCTCACACATCTGTGCGCAATCCAGGCCACCCCAGTCGAAGTTCTCACAAAAGGTCATGAATTTGAATTGAAAAAGGTCCTTATTTAGTTCTGTAGGGCTAGGCACACAAATCTCCTGAAACAGGAGCATCAATCACCTTGGCACCAACATTAAGGGAGAAACTAAGGCAGGAATAGTCACTACCTGGCTGGTACTGGTTGAGCTCATAAACCACCATGGAGTGCACCAACTGCAATGGGCTTCCCCACTCAATGACCAAGTCTAGAAGGGAAACTGAGTTGGCGACCACTCTGGTAAAGGTGCCTGTGCACCTGTCTTTGTCAAGCTGAGGTCATTGTTGTACACAAACTCCCTTATCAGTCAACAATTGTAGTTGATGTCAGGATTGTTCCCTACCACTCCTTGCTCATCACACCTGATGTGGCCATTAAAATCTCCAACTGGGAGGCATGAATAGCCCTATTCAGTGAGAGCGACCATTTCAGCCTGAATCATGTTTAGCAAGTCAGCATTCCAAACAATATGATCCCTTCCTTCCATGTCAGCTGCCATATACACAGAGCAGGTAACCAAGTTTCGACCCCCTCATGCACCGTAACAGGCCATCGCAGTTCCAAACGACCAAGTTTATGACATCCCCCCTCTCCCTTCCCTTCCAAAAGTTGAGGCAAAGGAATTGTCTGCCTATTCCCCCTATTGCCGCTCCCCCTTGCAATTCTATATCGACTTCTCTTCCATCTCATGGCTTATCCTTAAGCACCCCTGACATAAAGTGGGCTATAAGAGACTTACAAAGTACTCTGAAAAAACACCTTGGTGAGAAAAAGACAAGCCCCTCCCCACACCATAAAATAGGCACAACCCCAATGAGGTCAAAGAAGAAAGCATACCCAGCCTAAGGAACACATGAACATACACTGAAAAGAATAAATTGGATTTATTTATTTAATTATGGGTTAAAAGAGCCCCTAACCATAGAGCAAAGGTGAAAGGCTTGAATGAGCCACTGAAAAACACAGAGCATGATAATCATTTTAAACTAACTCTTTTTGTAGAAAAACACAGAGCATGATAAATAGGTTTTATTGATACATTCAATCCAATAAATAAAATATAAGGTTTACACAAAAGAATAAAACATCTGAGGAATGGAGTATAAAATTATACAATGAATAATAGTGACATCTGAGGAATGGAGTATTACCAACCAACCAACCAACCAACCAACCAACCAACCAACCAACCAACCAACCAAGCTTCCTTCTTATAAACCAATAATTCAATCAATCAATAAATCTATCAATTTACTCACAAGAACCCTCCATTCTATCTTTCCCCATGTCTTATTGTGAGCTTGAACTGTCGCCCGTATCACGTCATTCATTATCTCTAAACATCAACGTTAGTAAATATTAAACAGGGGGTTCGACAGGTGGGATACCCCCAGATTAGTGTGTAGAATCCTATCAGGGGTGTATAAAAATAAGCCTTTTACTTCCCTAATTCATCAAAGATCATATCCCCAGGGGAGGCGTAATTCTGAAAAATATATACCCCTGGATCCTGTTTTTAAACAAATTATAAATATAATCTAATGAATCAAGTAGTAAGCTGTTTGAATGTCAAATCACCCCTGGACCGATTTGCCTCAAATTTTGACTGGGGAACTCGCTAAAACATAAGTTCAAGGCTTGGTTCCCAAACAAATAAACAATATTAGTAAATATTCTGTAATCATAATAACTTTCTTTTTTCAATAAAAAATAATTCATGTATTCTATTCTCTGAAAACCCAGTCTTTCAATTTGTGCCCATTTCTAACACTCAGTGTTAGAAATGGGCCAAGTGTTAGTTATGGAACTAATGTCCCCTGTATTAGTAAATATTCTGTAATCAAAACAATAACTTTCTTTATTCAATAAAAAATAAAAAATAATGTGTACAGATGTATTCTATTCTCTGTTTGCATCTAATTTTGATTGGGGAACTCGCTTAACTCCCGAAATGTTCATAGCTTAGTTTTAAAGTTTAAAGTTAAGAAGTTTACAGGCAAAGCTAGGTTGCCCAGCTAGCAAACAATATTAGTAAATAATAAATAAATATGCATAATTTCTAAACAAAAAGTCAATCAATGTAGTTTAGTCAGGAATTTGTCACATGTATATAATTGGTTATGTGGCCGCAGCGCCCGGCCCCCTAGCCTGTCCTAGCCGCGGCGCTCAGACCCATATTGTCTTGATTACGAAATCACATGACCATAATCTACAATGTATCGAATTTGTCTCTCAAGATAAGTTAATTTTACTCCTCTTTCTTAAAATCAAACATTAAACCAAATGTTTATAGCCAGTCTTAACCTTTAAAATGGAGTAAAAAGTTTTAAATATGTATAAAAAAGAACTTACTATTTCCAACCAATGTTTTGAGAGCCATCTTGAAGGTGTAATATCTCCAAACCTTCGATCAATAGTATAGAGGCTCCAACTTCAATTGTAGGCTGATAACAACCTCCCGTATTGACTCACATGCGCACAACTTGAAAATTTTGTTTCTGCGCATGTTGATGAAATTGAGTATATAACATTCACAAAAATATTTTTAAATATTTAAAAATATTTTTGCTGGTAATTTCATTTTGAAAAAACATATATCCAAATAATTTTTTTTATTTTTTTATTTTATTGTTAACTACCCGTGTTTTCTGTCTGCTAGAAATGATGCGCAGAAAGATATTTTAGGTTTCTACGCATCTCTCTGTACACTTTTCTGTGTACTCAAATACAGTGCAGACAGATAAAATACAGATACAAATCTGTTAGCCGACAATTACAGGATCGTAATTTCGAGAGAAAAGGTAGATTACGACAATTGTGTTGAGCTGGCAACTTTTGAATCAATTATTTCGCTCTTAATCGGATTTAAAATGAGTTAAATGTATGCTTTCATTGGCCAAAAGTTCAAAACATTTAAATAATTTTTACTATGTTTTGAACATTTACATTAAAAATGAATTTTAACCGATTTTATTAAGTTTAGACCTTTTTTTAAATAAATTTCAGCTGAATGGAGAGAACAGTTATACACCTGTCCATCATATTTGAAAGACCTGGATCAAACTCACAGCTATTTTTAATATTATTTACTGAGATATTTTAAAAATTGTACATTGAGACAGACCCCCCCTTGCCCTTGCAAGACAAAAAATGCTATTTAAACGTCTAACTAATCTATTATTGTTTAAATCTATTTTTGTTTTAAAATGCATGTTATAAACCTGACAGAGTTCCCTGTACACTGATAATAAAAAATTAAATTGAACAAAAAAGTGTTTTGATAAAGATTTTTTGGAATTAACAGGGTTTGTTTATAACTCATCATCACTAAGTGACCTATCATTTATAGAGTGGCACATCCGATTCACAACATTACCCTTTAAACTATTTTCTGATAAAGGATAACAAAAAATATCAATCCCAGAACTACACCCCTGGATAAAGGTTATATGGTACTGTTATGAACTTGACTTGCCATGGCTGTAAAAAGAGAGCCCATTATATTTTAAAGTTATCATTAATTTATTGTATTTTGCTCATAGATGAACTATAAAGGTAGTGAATACGAGGCTGGGATGGCGCCTCAAAGGCCCCGAAGATCTAGCCAGCTCAAGATTGATATTGAAGGACTTCCTGATGGGAACAGTCATGTTAATGTCATGTGTTTTGATCTAGGAAAATGTTTGATTGATTATTTGATTTACATCAGATTTCTTTGATTGATTGATTAACGTTTATTTCTATGTGCATCCAAAGGCGATCACCTTAAATGTAATTTTCATCTTCCAAGTCGTAATCTCATCAGTAATTTTCATCTTCCAAGTCTTAATCTATGTATATACTTTGCTTGTTTGTATCTGATAAACGTCAAAACAGCTGAACCAATCAGGCCTAAATTTTGTGTGGGACATCACATGCCCCAGGGAAGGTTTATGGATTGTCAGAATTGAAAAATTTTGCCTGCCAAGCATTTCAAGTTGCTTAAAGCTTGGTAAACCCATAAAAAAATTCCTCAGAATTTTTTGTTAATTGTTTTATAATTTTTGAAGAGAAAATGCTCTCAGATATTTAAGCAACAATTCAATTTTGAAATAGAAGATGGGCGCGAAGTATCCTGAAAGCCTAGTCTATTTGTAATTACTCTTTCAGTGGGACATTATTAACTGGATCAGAGAAATTTTTTAGTTTTCAATTCTTAAATCAATCAATCAATTTATTTTTTAGTTTACTTCACCCGTCCAGCTCAGTTTATTATTTTATCTTGTGCATTATTTTTTTTCTACCTTCTCTATGGATATTTCCAGGTATATTTTTTTCAATATTTTTGATGTATTAAGAAAATTGTAGAAATGTAATTTTAGGAATTAATTTTTACCCTGCCTGGATTTCGGGGATATGGTTGGTATCTTACTCTCATCCAGTTCTTCTACTATTCTATTTTTGGAAGGGTAAGTTAACCATTTGGTCAATATGGTTTTAATAGAGTTACAATAATATAGTTAATAATATACAGGGTGTCCCACATCATACTAGATCGTCAATCAGTCTAAATTACGATTTTCGGGACTAATCAGAAAGTTTAAGAAGAATGAATCATCTTGAAAAATTGAATAAGGCTAAAACAAGAATTTTCTTGCTGAAAATACTTAAAGTTTTTCAAGTATTATGGTTTTATTTTAGCGTTAAAACTTGGAGATAATCTAATATGATATGGGACGCTCTTTATTTCTTTGTTATCTTTTAGTTGGAGATGATGCTACGGAGTAAACATCTAAACATCTAAACATCTAAACATCTAAACATCTAAACATCTTGATATCTAAACATCTAGATATCTAAACATCTAAACATCTAAACATCTAAACATCTAAACATCTAAACATCTAAACATCTAAACATCTAAACATCTTGATATCTAAACATCTAGATATCTAAACATCTAGATATCTAGACATCTAAATATCTAAATATCTAAATATCTAAATATCTAAATATCTAAATATCTAAATATCTAAATATCTAAAAAATATCTAAATATCTAAATATCTAAATATTTTAGAAGATTTGTGTATATTCCTCGAATAAATTTCCAGCAGGAGAAACATGAACCTGGTTCTACTCTTAATGTTTAGTCCCAGGAGCTAATATTGATATGTCAAGGGGTAGACTATGTTGCCCCCCCCCAGGGGTTAATATTGATATGTCAAGGGGTAGACTATGTTGCCCACCCCCCAGGGGTAAATATTGATATGTCAAGGGGTAGACTATGTTGCCCCCCCCAGGGGTAAATATTGATATGTCAAGGGGTAGATTATGTTGCCCCCCCTCCCACACCCAGGATTATGCAGATGTGACATTTTAAAAGATGACTTTTGTGCCATACTAAATCATTTTTTGCAGAATTATCAAGCATTGTAATTAATTTAATTGTGTTGATATTTGCATACAATCCCTTCATTTACATTATTTTATAAATATAATATTATCAAAATAAGGAGTCACGGAAGTTCGTAGTAAGATTTATTCGTAGTGAATTTATTTTCACTGGAGGGGTTTGAAAAAATACTTTTTACCATTTAAAACGCAGGGTGATTTTACATTCCCCTGGAGGGATATCTGAATCCTTCCAGGGGAATTGTAACCCCCCTGGAAAAATATCTGAATCCCTTCAGTGGAATTATAACCCCCCTGGAAAGATATCTGAATTCCTTCACTGGACTGTAAATCACCCTGCATAAAGTTTTAAATTTTAAAAAGCATTTTTTCAAACCCCTCCAGTGAAAATAAATTTCTCCAGTGGTCTCCAGTAGAATCAAAATCTTACTACGAACTTCTGTGAGCCCAAAATATGTTTATACAAAAACCTGTGATTGCTATGTTTGCTCAATTCTATTTATCTTATGTGATCCCGATAAAACTATGAAATATAACGACGACTTTAAATTGAATCAATAACATCAGATTGTCTCAATGTTGCTTTCCTGTTCCACAGTTTTATGGGGATCACTGTATGCACTGAAAACTTTTATTTAGGTTTTGTAGAGTTTCAGTGGTATAGATAGTGTTATAATCTCTGAAAAACTTGTAATCCAAATCTTTATTTTTTTATACTTTAAAGATTAGACACTAGGGGTGTTAAATTTAGTGAAACTTTTCTAAAATCATTTTACATAAACAAAATAGTATTTCACTTGGAATTCTAAGGCATGTTTATAAAATCCATTTTTCACAAAATTCAAAATGTGCCCCTCAAATGGGGTTTAAGGATAAAAAATCACTAGTGTTAGTAAAATGAAAAATTTGACAATCTTAATAATATGGGTAGTATGCATACGCTTGAAAACCGGGGTTCAAAACAATTTACAGAATTGAAAAATATTGAAAATTGGGCAAGTTATGGTCAAAAATAGATGTTTTCTTTGAATAAATTTCATTATAGTACTAAAAAATGTCTTTTTTGACCTTACTCAGTCAAATTTCAATATTTTTCGATTCAGAAATTCAATTCGGTTCTAATGATACCTAATTCAATAAGTATTTCAAAATTTCATTTTCACTTATACTTATAATTTTTGTGAAAAGTATATTTTATAAACATGTCTTAATATTCCTAGTAGAATACTTTTTTGCTTCTGTAAAATTGTTTCAGAAAAATTTCACACCCTTATTAGATACCCCTTGTACAATGTAAATTTAGTGTAATATTACTTAAAACACTGTTTTGACCTGCTGGCGCACTGTACTGCACTGTACTGTACTGTACTGTACTGTACTGTATTCCACTATTTTGAACCAAAGTTATGTTCTCACATAAATTTAAAATTAAAGGTACTGTGGACGTTGTTTAAGTTTAAACTCTTTTCATAAATATGTTAACTGTCCCTTTATGCCTGTGTGTACTTGTTGTTGATATTATTTATTCAGTTTAATAAAATTATTATTTAACAGAAATGTAAAATTTTAATTGTGAGAAATTTTGGCAAAATGTGCGGATATCTACATCAAAACTAAACCAAACTTTTCTAAATGTTTTATTATTAAAGGACGCTGAGCGTAGCTTGAAGTGACTCCATGCAAAAAATGCATTGCCCGATTTACAACAATACCCTTTAAATCCTTATTTCATCAAGTATGAATTAGATATCCATGTTTTCTTTGTTATTATTTTGTTTTTATCTTAATTTCCGGTTCCTCTACTTGCGCATTTTTTGCTTATAAGAAGCAGTGGAGAAATAATCGGAATTAATTAAATACTTTTTTAATCTAGAAAATCGACGTTTTCTTTCACATTTTTGATCAGATTAAGGTTTCAAAGGTACCGTTGTAAATTGGGCATTGTCATCTTTGCATTTAGGGTCACTTGAAAGTACGCTTACAGTCCCTGTAACAAAAACATTTTATTATTTTTTCACCTCTCACAACAAAAATGTCCTTCTCTCAACGCCTTTTAACAATAACTCAATTAAAATCATTTATTTACAGGGCTACCCATAGAGAAAGAAACCGGAGAGGCGACTGTACATAAATATACTCAATTGAAATCATTTATTTACAGGGCTACCCATAGAGAACGAAACCGGAGAGGCGACTGTACATAAATATACTCAATTGAAATCATTTATTTACAGGGCTACCCATAAAGAACCTAACCGGAGAGGTGACTGTACATAAATTTACTCAATTAAAATCATTTATTTACAGGGCTACCCATAGAGAAAGAAACTGGAGAGGTGACTGTAGATAAATATACTCAATTGAAATCATTTATTTACAGGTCTACCCATAGAGAAAGAAACTGGAGAGGTGACTGTACATAAATTTACTCCATTGAAATCATTTATTTACAGGGCTACCCATAGAGAAAGAAACTGGAGAGGTGACTGTACATAAATTTACTCAATTGAAATCGTTTATTTATAGGGCTACCCATTGAGAACGAAACTGGAGAGGTGACTGTACATAAATTTACTCCATTGAAATCATTTATTTACAGGGCTATCCATAGAGAACGAAACCGGAGAGGCGACTGTACATAAATTTACTCAATTGAAATCATTTATTTACAGGGCTATCCATAGAGAACGAAACCGAAGCTAAGAGGCGACTGTACGGATTCTATTCAATATTTTTCCTCTATCCTTAGCCAAATCTTTTTTAAAAGGCAACAAACATTAAAGTTCACTGATGACTGTACGGTTTTTTTCAGTGTTTCTTTTTATCTGATTTTCTACAGCTTTAATCATTCTATAGAATATTCTCTTCTCTGTAGCTTTAACCCAGTTTTCTTCCAATTATGAATACTAGGCTTTTAGGGCGCTTCGCGCCCATATTCTATTTCAACTTTTAATTGTGGCTTTATCTCTGAACATCTTCTCTTTGTACAGTATAAAACAAAAACAAAAAAAGTTTGCGAATTTCATAATATTTTTTGCGCATTTTCAAAATTTTTCAAAAATAAAAAACTTTTAAACAAAAATTTTTAAAATTTTGATCATTCATAAACCTTCCCTGGGATCACGTGAGGTCCCACAAAATTTTTTGGCCCGATAGGTTCAGCCGTTTTGACGTTTACTGGATTCAAACAAACAAACAGACAGACAAGCCAAATTTATAGATAGATACACCTCTAAAACTGTATTTAACCATTCTATAGAATATTCTCTACTCTGTAGTTTAACCCAGTTTTCTTTCAATTATGAATATACACCTCTAAACTATATCTAACCATTCTATAGAATATTCTCTACTCTGTAGTTTAACTCAGTTTTCTTCCAATTATGAATATACACCTCTAAATACTATATTTAACCATTCTATAGAATATTCTCTACTCTGTAGTTTTAACCCAGTTTTCTTCCAATTATGAATATTCACCTCTAAACTATATTTAACCGTTCTATCGAATATTCTCCTCTCTGTAGCTTTAACCCAGTTTTCTTCCAGTTATGAATATACACCTCTAAAACCTATCTTTAATATATAAATGTTTTCAAAAGTAACTCTCAGATCATGAAAAATACAAAATATTTTGAAATATCAACTATTTACGAATGCGTCGAAAAATAATCGATGGCTACTGTTTGTAATATCTGAATGATTTGTTTGGAATTAAATTGATTTGTTTACGATCCGAGTTGAATGTTGCATCTTTCCGAATTTGTATGGACGCTGCGTTCTTCGGTGTGAGTCGTTTTTAACAATTTTCTCCAGACGCAACAGATAGAAGTAAGATTAGTAGCGATTAAAAGCGCTTTTTTTATCGCATTAAGCCTATACCCCCTTTAATTTTTCGCGAACACTCCCTTTAACAAGTTGATTTCCAAGATACTATTCACAGTGCACTCCAGCATTCAGAAGGACATTTTGGTGACTTCATAGCTTCTCTAAATTTTGTTTTTTTGAATCACTTCAATAAGAAGTTGTACTTGAAGACATTTGAGATTTTAATCTTGGGTGAAAGAAACTAAACACTTTCCACAAATTCTTATTTTGAAATCCCAATATCTTTGTAACTTAATGTCGTAGGCTTTTGATATTTCAAATTGTGAATTCATTTAATTCAAATAGTCAAAATTTGAAATATCAAACGGTTTGCGCCATCAGGTTGCAAAGAAATAAAGATTAAGAATTAGATTTGGCGTAAAACTAATTTCTTTCTGACGGCACAAAATGTAAATAAGATTGCTTGAATGCTGTCCTTCCTTTTCCACAGTTTTATGAGTCTCACTGTATGCCAGGTTAATATTTTTACGGACTGCCAATCTTGATTTAGGAAGAAAAAAGTATACTTTTGCTTGTTTAATGAACACTTTTTCAATCTTTTATTTGCTCGTGCTAATCGGGAATTTCTGTATGAAAACCTAAATTTTCCTCATGACATAAATGTTTCTCTCTCTACAATATATAAACCTTCTCAAATATATTTTTTATGCATTCAAGCAGTTTTTCTAAAAAAAATTGTTAAAAATGAAAATTAATTGAGTCTTTGCCACAAACTCAAATTATCTTATTCTTATGTCTTTGCAACCTGATGGTGTAAACCTTGGATATTTTAAACTTGGATTATTTGATGTAGTGGAAGCCATAATTTAAAATATCTAAGGTCTACGACATCGGGTTGCAAAGATATGGAGATTAAAAATAGATTTTATGGCAAAGACTCAATTCTTTTGAACGCGCTAGAAATAAATATAGATTTAGACATCGTTAAAAATTCAAGAACAGTTTAATTTCCATCTATTACAACTTTAAATAATATTCTTTAAACCAGTTCTTCTTGTGTCAGTAAATTCAAGAACAGTTTAATTTCCATCTATTATAACTTTAAATAATATTCTTTAAACCAGTTCTTTTTGTCTTAGTAAATTCAAGAACAGTTTTAATTGAAGTTGCGTATACTCTGCGTACATATTGAAACCAGTTCTCTCTGGGCGGAATTTGTAAACAAGAATAGATGCATCAGTGTTTGTTTAGTACCCGAGGAGGATAAAAGCATTGAATTTTGAAAATTTTGATAATTCAAATAATAGTTTCCTATGACAGAATATTTCATTGATTTTTTTATGCGACATCCATCTTGTGTTTACATTACCGCCCAGAGACTGTACACTGCAGTACATCAGATGCGTACACCTCTGAAATAACTTTCCTTGCATTATAACCTATCATCATTCTTATTCTTGTGGAAAATACTTATAGTTTTTCAAGTATTATGGTTTTATTTTAGCGTTAAAACTTGGAGATAATCTAATATGATATGGGACGCTCTGTATTTATTTGTTATCTTTTAGTTGGAGATGATGCTACGGAGAGAGACACGAAAGGAAATGACCACTTTGATTATTTTGAAAAGTACAGTAAATAAACCTTACATTTTGTTTAAAAGTGGGTTGGGGGGAGGATTACTGGAAGTTAGATTAGATACCCTTAATAGCTTTGTCTTATCAAGAATGGATACGCTATTCATCATCTTCTCTTTGTTTATTTATAAGTGATTTTTAAAGACTGGTTACTGGAAGTTAATCTCTTTAAACACATTTCCTAGAAAAGTTACCTTTGTGTTAGGTTCCTTTAAAAACCTATGCTCTGCTGGCTATTACCACTGTGGCTACCATGGGGTTTTCTAATGCAAGCTTGGAATATCTTAATTATCCTACCCAGGTCATAAGGAATAATACAGACAGAGTGTTTCAATGAAATCTCAAATTTTCATCAAACAAAATTTGTTAGTGCACTGGAGCCAAGTTAACCTAGTAGTTTTATTCGTCAAATTGAAATTTATCATTCATCAACATAAGTTAAATTTGGCTCAGTGCTCCAAATAATTATGTTAGATGGAAATTTTACATTTTTCAGTTTGTGATACGGTTTTTGATTCATTTTATGTCATTGTAATCCTGGTTTAATCTTATATTTAAGTCCTGTATTCTAACTCTACTCACCGTAATCCTGGTTTCAGGTTATATTTAAGTCCTGTAAACTGATCCCAGTTCTGATTGGCGGCATTTTTATACAAGGAAAACGCCCACGTGTTTTAGGTAATATTCACAAAACAAAAACGTTAATCTATATAGCTATATATATATTTATATCCATAATTGTGAACAGCTGAGCTGATAGAGCTATTTAACATGTCCATGTTTTTAGATTTTGTAGCTGCTGGGTTCATGTGCCTAGGCCTAATAATATTCACACTGGCAGATAGCCAGGTAAACTTTATAGGGCCTTTACATTGAGTTTATTGTTATTATTGATGCATGATGTTAGGTGTTTTTGATGTAACCGGAGTAATAATGATCTCCTTGGCTCTGTTAAATAGTTGATGCTATTATTGATGCATGATGTTAGGTGTCCCCTGTGTTTGAAGTAACCGAAGTAATAATGATCTCCTTGGCTCTGTTAATTAGCTGATGCTATTATTGATGCATGATGTTAGGTGTTTTTGAAGTAAACTGAGTAATAATGATCTCCTTGGCTCTGTTAATTAGCTGATGCTATTATTGATGCATGATGTTAGGTGTTTTTGATGGAACCGGAGTGGTAATGATCTCCTTGGCTCTGTTAATTAGCTGATGCTATTATTGATGCATGATGCTAGGTGTCTCCTGTGTTTGAAGTAACCGGAGTGGTAATGATCTCCTTGGCACTGTTAGCTGATGCTATCATTGGAAATGTCCAGGTATAAAACATAACAAAACCTGAACTAATGCAATTTTATGAAATATATCTGTTTAGGAGAAAACAATGAGGCAGTTTAATGCCAGTAATTCAGAGGTAAGATTATTAATATTAATAATTATAACATGATGTATTGGACCACTGTATGTTTAGGTTGTACTGTACAGTTATTCTATTGGATTTGTTTATTTATTCTTCCTTGTGGCCGTTTTTACAGGTAAAATAATATTAAGATAAGCTGGGCCTCATTGTTCCTGGATTCTTGTTCAGATATTGCCTCTGCTATTCACTACTGTTCCTACTATCCTAAACAAACCTATGGATATGCCTTTATTTTCTCCCTCACAGGATACTTAGGCATTCAGGTAAGTCCTTATTATTTTTTTTGATTATAATGTGTTATGATTTAAATGGCAAATTCAACCAGTAGTTAATGTTTAGATTGTTCTTGGGCTAGTTCGGCAGTTTGGAGCATTTCTAGCTGTTACAGTCACTACATTTAGGTGTTATTATAATATTATTATTATTATTATTATTATTATTATTGTTGTTGTTTCAAAAGATACTGGTTTAAGTGTGAGAGTAGTCCAAGTTTGGTTTCAAAACCAACGAGCTAAAATGAAGAAAATGCAGAGAAGGTAAATAAGTATTTTTTTAACTACATATAACATTGTCATTGAAATAATTTTATTCAAGAACTTTTTTATTTATCTATAAATATTTGGGATTATTAAATGTGCGGTGCAATTATAATATTATTTGAAATACAATCTTTACCTGAAATTATTTTCTTAAATCCAAACTAACATTTCCATGCAGAGTCTTACAAGATTTTCAATCAAAATTTCATACGGAACGACCAAGGTGTTCATGACTTATGAAACAACGAGTGCAAATTTTTTGTTGGACCTCACATGGCCCCAGGGAAGGTTCATGAATAATCAAAATTAAAAAAAATTAGTCTCCAACAAATTTCAATTTTCATTAAATTTTGAAAATCCACGACATTTGTTTTATGAAATCCGCGAACTTTTTGTTTGTTTTTGTTTTACAACGTATACAATATACATACAAAGAGAAATGTTCACAATTAAAAAAGAAAATGGGCGCGAAGGACCCTCAAAGTTTAGTCTCATGAAGTCAAAATAATTTGAAAAAAATATGTATAGAAGTAAAACGGATAAGGACGGAAAACCAGTAGAGAAGGAAGGAAAGAAGGAGAAAGAAGGTATTTGACAATAATTGTCTGTAAACTGTATATTTAAAGAGATTGTTATTGTTATTTTAAATGACATTCTATTCTATTCTATCATGCTGAAGATAACTTCGTTTTACTGGATTGAAAGGTGTTATTTCTGGTAATTTCTCCATTGTTTCTGAAGCAAGAAATGCGCAAGAGAAATCACAAATGAAAAAAAAAACAGTTTTATAAGAGCCAAAACATGGATATCTCATTTATTTTTGATTAGTCAAAGCTTTGAAGAGTATAGGACTACTCACTTGAAATTACGTTGACTGTCTCTTTAAGTTTGTGTGCGTGAGAGTATTGTAGTGTGTGTGTGTAAGGGTGTGTTTGTGTGCATGAGAGTATTGTAGTGTGTGCTAGTGTTTGTGTGTGTGAGTGTCAATATGTGTGTTTGTGTACAAACAGACCTAAGGATATATATATTATACAGTTTCTATTTGCACACAGCTCAATATTCTATCTATCTATCTATTTATCTATCTATCTATCTATCTATCTATCTACCTGTCTTTAAATCTATTCATCTATTTATCTATCTATCTATCATATGTTATGTCTATCTATCTATCTCTACATCTATCTTTCTCTCCGTATCTCTATCTGTTCAAATTTATCATCTTATTTAATATTTCGTATTTAACAACATAAGCTAACGGTTGGTATAATACAATTGCAGCAATTTTTCTAACTTTCAGACTTTACTCTATCTCTTCTCTAACCTATACATTAGCCCTGGTATTCTCTAGGTCTAGTAGAATACTATTCTAACCTAGACATTTGCCTGGTATTCTCTAGGTCTAGCAGAATACTATTCTAACCTAGACATTAGCCTGGTATTCTCTAGGTCTAGCAGTATACTATTCTAACCTAGACATTAGCCCTGGTATTCTCTAGGTCTAGCAGAATACTATTCTAACCTAACCTAACCATTCTCTAGGTTTATCTTAATACTATTCTAACCAAACCTAATTCTTCTCTAGGTCTAGCTGAACACTATTCTAACCTAAGATAACCATTCTCTAGGTTTAGCTTAATACTATCCTAACCAAACCTAATTCTTCTCTAGGTCTAGCTGAACACTATTCTAACCTAAGATAACCATTCTCTAGGTTTAGCTTAATACTATTCTAACCAAACCTAATTCTTCTCTAGGTCTAGCTGAACAATTTTCTAACCTAACCTAATTCTTGTCTAGGTCTAGCTGAACACTATTCTAACCAAACCTAATTCTTGTCTAGGTCTAGCTGAACACTATTCTAACCAAACCTAATTCTTGTCTAGGTCTAGCTGGAGATGGTGACTCCTACTGTGACTCTGAAGCCTCCCTGGATGAATCTTGTTATGATAACCTAGAGGAACCACTGTCCCCACCTCAGGACCTTCAGCCACCCCTAGATATCAGGCATCATGAGGTAAAAAATTCAATAAAGTTTTTTTTGAATTTTGAAAAGAGTCTTTCAATAAAAATTCATTTTTTTTTAAATGATAAACTTTCCCTCGTCACTTTTTGTTTCATTTTGAATTTAATTCTGGTAAAAATAAATCTGGAAAGTTGTAAATCGGAAAATTATACATCTGGGAATTACTTGGAGCAATTTGGAAAATTGTATTTTTTGGAAAGTTTCAACTTGAAAATTTTACATAATAATAATTAATAAATACATTTTACCTAGTTCAATTTATTAAAAGTTTATATGAGAAAAATGTTACATTGGGGTCCGAATTTAATGAATTTGAGCCGCGTCTTTAATCCGCCAAAAACCGGTTTCAATTGAGCGCCGGCTTAAATCTTGAAACATTGAATACAATTTTAAGTGCATCCAACCATATTTGAGCTGCGTCTCAAATTTAAGCCGTGGCTCAAATTCATTAAATTCGGCCTTGGGATAGGTTTCAACCCCGTTTTCCCGTGTTTAAAGGGACTGTAAACGTAATTTTGAGTGAGTTTTCATACATGGATCAGCATGTTCGATTCACAAGAGAACCCCTAAAGGCTTTGTATGATCAAGAAATGCTTGAGATATCCATCATCTTCTGTTATAAAATTGATTATTTTCAACTCATGGTTTCTCTATAAAGTGAGTTGCTGAAGAAATAACAGAGTAAGTTGCCATAATAAAACACTTTTCTTTTCAAGCTAGAAAGACAATAATATTTTTCATATAAATGATCAGTTGACCGTTTAAAGAGTTACTGTTGTGAATCCGGTATGTCCCTCTTTAGAAGGTCACTTGAAATTATAACGGAATTCTCCGATATTTTGTTGACAGCTTTGAGCTGAAATTTTGAATTATTTCTAATCGATCCTTCATAAAGTTTATTGTTTATTTAGGAGGAGAACCTGAGGCTAAATACTCACCCTGTATCTTCACACTTCCTTCAACCCAACCCAATAGACAAGCTATACCTCATGCAGGACTCATACTTCCAGCACTA